ATTAGATTGAATTATATCAAATTGAACTATGCTATAGAATATATAATACTATATTATACAAATTCATAAGCCCGAAATTCTCTGTACAATTTTTAATTAATATAATTTTGATTAGTTTGTATTATTAATTAATTACATATTAAAAAAATTAAAACATAAGATCCAACTTGAATCTTAAGTAAAAGATCTTTATGTGACATGTTCATTTAAATATTGTATTAAATTATATATTTTATTATTTAATCCGATTAATGTTTGGTTATTGAGTAATGTTCAATTATTTACATATGTTGTAAAAAAGAATTTTTGAATGTTAAATTATTTAGTTAAATTTGGTTGACCTTTAAAAATATATACTCTCTTGTTTTGTTAAATATTTTATTATTATTTTTAATTAATTATTAAAATACATTTGGTTTTGTAGTAGTTACTCTGTTTCATTTCATAATCATTTTGTCCACTGCGGGTGTTGAGTGATTTATGTACTACATTTGTTTGTCGCTCTGTCTGAATCATTTGGAGATGAATATAAAAAGGCGAACCACGTACACATACCTAAAATTTGCCGTAACGACAAAATGATACCCAAAAAATTTTAAAATAACAAATAAGTACCTTTCATCATATGTTGTTAGTAATTTCCCTTTGATAATGGTGAAAAGACTAGAATGCCCTTGAAAGTTTGATATTTTAGTTTTTTATAAATTTAAAATTTTCTAAAAAACCCCATAGGTTTGCTAATTTAACTAAACACCCCAACATATAAAAATTTTATAAAATCACAAAAACACCTCCATCACCTGCAGTGCCAGATTCTGGCCACCACCGCCGGAATCTAACCGAAAAATTGCGTTACGACACAGACCCGTCAGATCTGTGTCGTAACGCGTCGATCTGGCCTTTTCTGACCAGATCCATGGTGGATCTAGCCGAAAAGGCCAATCTGGACGTAGATTTGGTCAGAAAAGGCCGCAAAACTCTCGACGACTGATCTGATCGGAAAAAGTCAGATCGACGCGTTACGACACAGATCCGAAGGAATCTGTGTCGTAACTCAATTTTCTAAGCTCTTTTTTAATATCATGGATTGTAAAAGACAACACCAAAAAAAAAAAAAAAAAAAAAAAAAAAAAAAAAAAAAAAAAAATTTAATTGTGAGATAAACATGTTTATTTTTAAATAGGTTTATGTTATACCTAACAAAAGTTTTGATTTATATTAAGTTTGGTACGGTTTTTGTTATACCTAACAAAAATGGGATTTATTAATAAATGATCAGTTTATGGATTAATGCATCATGGCGTTTCACAATGAATGAAGATTTTCGACCACAAAATCAAATATTTAAGTTCCATGGTATAAACTTTTGAACTTTGAATTAAAAGATATATATATATATATATCCTTGCCCAATGTGTGACATTGTCATTTTAGAGTAAACAGACTTTTTCCCACCCAAGGTTTGCCTTTAAATAGTGGTGACTGATTGAATATTCGCCATTAAAATCAACCGTAAATCAACTAAAAATAAAAAACTCTAGTTTTGTAGTGGTCGATAATCAGCGAGAAATCATATGCCGGAGTGAGAGAAGTTTTGTAGAAGGGAGACCGAAGGTTCAAGTGGTAGTGATGGAGAGAATTTTCGCCACCAGTATTGGTCGGAATTTGTTTTGGGTAGTAACGAAATATTAACTTTAGGTATGAAAATGGTATTTTGAAACTTTTTGGATGGAAAAGTGTCATTAAGGCAAACCTTGGGTGGGAAAAAGTAGTTTACTCATTAAAAGATTTCTTAACTCTGAAACATAATTTACCAAAACTTATCTCATGTGTGTTATTAGGGTGAAAGCAACAGCTTAATTTATTTAAAAAAAAAAAAAAAAACCTACTATATCAACAACCGAATGTTCGCATCAACAACTCTCCTTATAATTAAAAGACAAAAAGAAAAGACTCATTCTTTTGTTGAAACTTTTCCTTTCACAACAGTTCAAGGTAAAACAACCCATTGAATATTATTCTGGCTTGACACTTGGCAAAAACTAAAATAAAATAGGAAATTCTACATAACAGCTTCCAATTGGATCAACATAATGAATCACGGGACCCTTTTAATATTAATATTGTATAATATAAAGTATGAAGCTCTTGGACCGTCGGTGATTTCACAAGCCTCCCTTTCATTTACTTAATAAATTAAATTATAGGTACATATATATATATTGGTTGAAAAGGAAATAAAAAACCATTTTCACATGTGTGTCACACTTTAATTAAATTTAGTTTGTGTTTTTAATAAATAGATTCATGCACTTGGGATCTCCAATATTTATTCAGACTTTACCCATGTGAAATGGTTTCCTATCAATTTCCAAGTCAAATGTGTGATTTCTTTTATTTTATATATGGATCTAGTTTTGAATCACAAAAAATCTCCTATTAATTGAGACATCAAATAAATATATTAATTTATAGATAAATGTGCTCATCCCTATTCCTTTGGATCTAGTAAATTTTTTAACATAATTTATATTAAATAAATAATTATAATTTTGAATTCCCTAAATTCTCCAAATCTTTTTATTTTCTCTTATTTCCACACCATTTAATGTATGTTTTTATTCATGTATAATCAAAGTTTGATTCAAAATAAAATAAAAGAAGAGAAACATAAAAAGGAAGAAGGGAGGGCCTTCGGCATCAAAGTTGGTTATACAAAAGTGACAATTTAATAATTAATTAATAATTATTGGATATTTATAAAATTTGATATGCCGAGATCTATGGTAAATATTTAAATAATATCATAGGACTCTAAACATATCTTTTCTGAAGATTTGTTTGTCATTAAAGTTTTGTTGAATTAATAAAAGCAACACAAAATTAACAAGTAAAGGTGTTCATGTTGAAATAATCATCTAACCTTATGTCAGGTAGCTTTAAGAACTTTTTTTTATTCTCTTAACAATCATTAGAGTCAGATATTGATTTCTCCTTTTTTACATCGTGAAATAAAAGGTTATAAAATAAGTTTTTTTTTTCTTTTTTTCTTTTTTTTGAGTAAAACTTATTAAAAGTAGAGTTTATGAAAATTTATAGTTTTTGCGATCAATTTGCTAATTGTTTACTTAAGAAAATATAAGTTTTTTTCTTTTTAGTATTAATTTATCAAAAATGGCTTTAATATACATGAATAAATAAAATCAAATTTATAAATAAAAAAAATATAATTATAAAATAATGTATCTTTTAATTTGGATAAAACTTATGCATTGATAATGATATAAACTCATATTCATGTATTTTCGAAGACAATAAATAACAAGATATTAAGAACTTTAGATTAAGTTTTAAATGAAAAAGATTTCAGAGATGGGATGCTGGAATAGCTAATATATCTTGCTTTTTTTTTGTTTGGTAATCTGGGTGTCTGAACTAGCTTGAACGTACTTTAAATAATCTTCGAAGTCTAATAAACAGCTTACAAAATCCAAAGAACCAAATAAATTAGAATATTGTTATTGTGATAAGTGACTCTCCTTGGGATTATATTTTGCTTTTATTTCTTAGAAGGAAAACAATATCAATTTTTTTACCGTAAAATTGGGAATAGAAAATTATGTTTTGCTTGAAAGTATTTTAATTTAAAACAAAAAAGCTGTAAATTATGTGTACTAATCAAATATTGTTAAAAAAATGTAATATCTTAATAAAGAATTAAAGAAAGGAAAATTGTTTGAAAATAATTGTCCTAAAATAAAGCATTAACTTATTGTAAAACGATAGAAAGAGAAAGAGATGAAGTGAAAACCGAAGAGGACATATGAACACATGATTAAGACGTCATGATTAATGAATTGAGTCAGATGAACGGCAAGCAACCAATACCAACTGTGACTTCTAAGGTCCCCTTCCCTAAACACCGTGGTCCCATCCCATCCAATCACACTGGCACACATCACTACGACTCCAATTCACTTTTAGTCAACCCAAATCATAAGCCTATTGCTATTGCCAATACCTATTCATTTCCTTCTTTTTTTTTATTTATTAACTTATCTTTGTCCTTTTTAACGGCTACTGTTTATTTTATTTTAAGTAATTCATTATTATCCAACGTCTTTTACCCACCAAGTTTGCCAATCTTTTTAACCAATTTGATTACGATCAATTTCCTTTGAAAATAAATATTTATAAAAATAAATTAACTAATTTCCGTATTTCATCTGTGAAATGGTCAACTATTTCTAGATAACTTAAAAACCTTGAATCAAGTTAAAAAGTCTTGAGTTTGAATTCTCATAATTACTAATAAGAAATAATAATTAGAGGTTTATCCAATCGTTAACTTCAGGACCCTCAAAACTAGTTGAGGTATGCATAAACTAATTCAGATACCTTCGAATACCAAAAAAATAAAAAACTTTTTTTTTATGTTTAATCAATATTTTCAACAACATAATTGATAAGAATTAAGATAATCTGTTAATCAAACAGTAAATAAATTGTATATATACATATAAATTGATTCGAACACTTTCGGATACAAAAATAAATGTGTTTAGTCAATATTTCCAATAACATAATTGATGAGAATGAAGGTAATACGTAAATTAAACGGTAAACAAATTGCGTATACTGGTCAAACCATACCTGCCGTCAATATGAGTTGTTAACACTAATATAATACGGTTAGTAGCGGTGAAAGCATAAACGAGGTTAGGTGGAAGAATAATCAGAAGTCCTAAAACGACTGAAGGAAAATGAACAATAGTGAAAAAAAAAAAAAAAAAAAAAATTACCGCGATGACAGGTTAAAGTTAAAGTCTGTTAGTTAGGGAAGGTCATAAAAGCGTCGGTGGAGGTTATTTTGCGCGTTGGAGAAAACTTCCAACCCCCAAGAGAGAGAAAATGTTTTGTTGTAATGAAGAGAGAGAATCGCTTCGTATAAAGCCACTAGGCCTTAAACAGAGGGAGGATTGAGAAAACAAACCCCCCCCCCCAAAAAAAAGCCTAAAAAAAAAAAAAAAAAAACAAGTCAGAAAGATAAAGTGAGGCCATTTGTAGGAGGCCTTTCAGTTTCAGACACAGAGACAGAGCCGCGGCCATGGGAGAGTCAAATGAATCCGTTTCAGTTAACATGGAGAAGATCTGCCTTGGTGGCAAGGTAAGCTCTTGTTTTGTTTTGTTCTTCTTAAACTGTGTCGTTTCTTGAATGATTCAAGATTTTGTGATTAACCATTCCAGGTCGTTTTATTTGTCGAAGATTGAAAGTCATAAAACTTGTTCTTCTTACTTCTTACTCTTTTCTTTTGATTGATTTAGGTTTTTCTGGATTTAATTTTGGGGATTTTGGGTGTTTTCGAATTGTGATTTTCAGATCCTTGCATTCATTTTTTTGAGAAATTGCCTTTTCTTGTCAAGATAGAAACGGTTTTATGTTAGTTGTAATCAATCTTTTTCTTCTTTTGAAGCTATTTTGCATCAAGAGTAATGTTATCTTTTGAAATTTGGTGCATTGTTGTTTACTGTGTATTTTTGGTGCTACTTCATCTTGCTTTTAGGCCTTTTTGTTCATTTAGACTCTTGTTTTGATCAATTTGGGGGTTTAATGTTATCTTCTTGTTTTTGTATTGAGCATATTCTTTCCTTGTTGTATCATGTTGTTAACGGCGGAAGGCGCTGGATATTAAGTGAATCAATTTCTTGGGTTTATTCAACGTGTAGTGTTGCAGTCCTTGGAAGGAAACTTTATTGTGCGTCTTATTTCTGTTTATTATATTGTCATGTCTACCTGTTACTTAAAATTTTTTGTTCGTTTCTTTATTGGTTATATCAATTTAAAGTCAATGTTTTCTTTTAATGCGAGAGATTCCATGCTTTCCTTTTAAACTGTCATCCCTTTTTAAAGAATACAATCATTGCTATCAAGAGCAAATTATTATTTGTTTCATTTAACTTTTCGCAAAGTTGTGTTAATATGATGTATTGGGTTAGTTTGGGTTTGCCCCAAAAGGGGTAATTGCACATGGGAAGCTCGTTTGGGGAATAATTTTATCTGGATAAAGTTGTGGTTTTCCCTTCTTTAAAGGTTGTATACAAGGCAAATGATTGGTCTTCGTTTTCTGAATGCTATTCTCGCTGAACAAATTTTCAAGTGATTAGAAATACAATGGTAGTTGGGTTGTTTTTGTAATTATTTCTTATGGGCATCTCATTTTTCTTCTTTATTTACCTTTTTTTTTCCTCCTGTAATCTTTAGTATTGTGTTTCATATAATTTTTCAGGAACACAATGTACAAACTGGCCATGGTTCCGTGTCTGTTATAATCTATGGAGATCAAGACAAGCCAGCTTTAATCACTTATCCTGATTTAGCTCTAAATCGTAAGTGCAATGGATTTAGATCCTGTGGCATTGTTTTATTCTAGATCTGATTGAAGCTAAATTAATACATAGAAGCTTCTGTCAATTGCTGTATTCAGATTTGCTGACTAATAGCGGTTTTTAATTCTGCGCTTTTCTTGTTGATCAGATATGTCTTGTTTTCAAGGCTTGTTTTTTTGGCCTGAAGCGGCTTCCATGCTGCTTCATAACTTCTGCATATACCATATTTGTCCTCCTGGGCATGAGGTCTGTAAATTATTTCACTTGAGCGCAATTTCCTGATATTTTCCTCATTTTTTGTTAGACTTTTTTTTGGACAACATATTACATTCCATTATTGAACTCTATTATTCACAGAGTTTCCTTTCCGGCTCTTTATAAGAGTTCTTGCAGTTGGGAGCAGCTCCAATTTGTCCAGATGATCCGGTACACTCTGTTGATGACTTAGTTGATCAGATCCTTGAGGTTCTCAACTATTTTGGGTATAGAACACATTACTCTTGTGCTGATTGTGTCATTGGTGCTAGTGGTTACAAAATAGGGCACAGGACTCTTTTAGGATTGAAGGCTTCTTGCTAACATTTTTCACATGTGAGGTTTTGTCTTAGTTTCTGATGTATTGAATTCTTTTTTTTCAGACTTGGCTCAGTAATGTGCATGGGTGTGACTGCCGGTGCTTACATCCTTACTTTATTTTCTGTAAGTTTCTTTGATCAATAATTCAATAAGTCTTTTCTGAATGGTTTCCATGTTGTTGTATTGATCAAGGCATTGCATTGCAGATGAAATATAGGGAACGTGTTCTTGGTTTGATACTTGTATCTCCTCTATGCAAGGCACCCTCTTGGTCAGAATGGTTTTATAATAAGGTTCATTCTTTGGACCCTTTTGGTTATTCTTACATACATATGTTCATTTGTTTTTAATATGTTACTAAGATCCCATATATTCTGCAGGTGATGGCAAATTTACTATATTTCTATGGTATGTGTGGATTGGTTAATGAGTTTTTGCTTCAGCGGTACTTCAGCAAGGTATTGTCGCACTCTCATTCTGGCTATTTATTTTTAGTTTCTTTGCTCATATATTGTTTTTTATGGGGTTGAATGAATGGTGAGATTTTTGTATTGCTATAAATTGTAACAGGAAGTCCGCGGTACGGCTGAAGTTCCAGAGTCAGATATAGTTCAAGCATGCAGAAGAGTAAGTGCCTGAGTCTTTTTATATTATATTATATATGTTTATGTTTCCCTTTGTCCCTTTGACAGTGACATTTTAAAGGGTGACATTTCTTAATTTCTTTTTGCTTTTTTGTTTTTTCAGTTGTTGGATGAGAGGCAGAGCACAAATGTTTTGCGGTATCTTCAAGCCATTAATAGGTAACATCCTGTTGAGATTACATTTTCATTGACATCTCTTGTACTGTTTTAGTTCTCTATTCAGTAATTTTAAGTTAAGGTTTCTTAATTGTCAAATTTTGTTTAACCAACCCGCAGGAGACCAGACATCACTGATGGCCTGAAGAAACTAAAATGTCGAACCCTCATTTTCGTTGGGGATAACTCCCCTTTTCATTCTGAGGCTCTCCACATGATCTCAAAATTGGATAAACGATACAGTGCATTAGTTGAGGTATGTAGCTAATAAAATGCGAGGATGTTTATATAGTTTATGAAAAATCTGATTGAGAAATCTGTGGTAGTTGAATGAAACAATTAAGGATTTCAAAATGAAAGATAGTTGGTAATGTTTGCAGGTCCAGGCTTGTGGATCAATGGTGACTGAAGAGCAGCCACATGCAATGTTGATACCAATGGAATATTTTTTGATGGGTTATGGGATGTATAGACCTTGCCAGTTTACAGACAGTCCAAGGAGTCCCCTCAGTCCCTCTTGCATCTCCCCAGAGCTTCTCTCTCCGGAAAGTATGGGTTTGAAGTTAAAACCAATCAAGACTCGAGTTTCGCTCTCAATGTAGAACACCGTTTTGATTCACATGGTGATTCGAAAACTATTTGTAATTTTTTATTTTTTTTCTTTTCTTTTGGTTCTTTTGTTGATTCATTGAGAAGGTTAGGAGCAGTTGGGAGGAGTTATAGATACAGGGAGGAAGAGTATAAATATATTAGGCAGATGACTTTTATAATGTATTCATTCATTTGTAGTCGGTCATAAAGAAGTCATTGTGCTGTTTGTACATTATAAAAAGAAAAAAAAAAGAAGAGATTATTTATGATGACGACAAGCAATCAATAATAGAGTTTCCGCGCTCTTTCAAACTTCGATTTTATTTTTTCAATTTTATAAATAATTCAATAGCATATTGACAGCTAGCCATGTTTTTCTTTATTATGAAAGGGCAATATGATATGATTGTTGTACACTAATTTAAATTAATGTAATTTCCATATTTTGTTTACAGGCCAGCCGTAGGTGGACAAATCCAAATGGGTAATATTATATCTATAATTTGTTTTTTACAAACTTTTTTTTCAAATTCTGATGTTATAGTTCGTAATTGATCAATTATAATTTATTAAGTGAGATTTATTATAAACTGATTAATTATAAGTTATTATATTAAGATTGTAAGAGAAATTTGTGAGAAGAGGTTATAAAGGTGGTATTTTTTAATACAAATTGAAAGGAACGAAATAAAATTTGTCAAAATGACAGTTTTTGGAAGGAGTGTTAGAAGGATTTGATACGACGTCGTAACTAAATGAGATTTAGTTGGGATGATCAGACAGTTATTTTTTAATGACGAAATTAACGGCTATGATTAGTTGATTACTTGCCATAATTGGTCTCGTAATCAGATACAATCTCCTATTCTCTTGCTTTCTACCCAACAACTGAACTATCATTTTCATCAGAGCAAGTTGTTTATTTCCCAATTTGATTTGGTGGCGCCGGGAACTCGTATTCCCGGTCGCCTCGCCCGTTACCCATCTCCAGTTTTTCAAATAAAATGGCGTTTCAGGGCATAGTTGTAATTTTCGACTTTGACAGGACCTTGATCGATGGCGATAGCGATAATTGGGTGGTGACGCAGATGGAGCTCACCGAAGTATTCAATCAACTCCGCCCTTCCTTACCGTGGAACGCTCTCATGGTTTGATTTTCATTCTCTTTCTATTTGATTTTCACATTCATATATGTAATTGCTGAATGATTTGTTAATTGTAATGTTACATAATTGTAGGATAGGATGATGAAGGAGCTCCATTTACGAGGGAAAACGGTTGATGACATTGCTAACTGTTTGGGGAAGACTCCCCTGGATTCCCGTATAATTGCCGCCATCAAATCAGCTCATTCGTTAGGGTAATATTCTTCTTCTTAGTCATTGAGTTTTTTATCTTTTTACAAGGATATGAATATGATAGCCACGTGGTGGGGTTTTAGGTGTGACTTGAAAATAGTGAGTGACGCGAATCAATTTTTCATTGAAACTATCTTGGAACATCACGGCTTGTTGGGATGCTTTTCGGAGATTTTTACAAACCCAACTCTTGTAGATGAAGAAGGAGCGCTTAGGATTTTGCCTTACCATCCCTCTACCTCATCTCCTCATGCTTGCAATCTATGCCCTTCAAATTTATGCAAGGTAATTTACTCTTATTTCACTCTACCTATACTATTTTTATGTTATCTCATTTCATTAGGGTCCATTATTGTAGCTTGTCCTGATCGTTGAGATCAGTTAGAAATCTCGTATCTGTATTACTTGTATGAGGCACTTGGCATTTAATCTTGGTTAACACATTAACGTGTCATATGGTAGTATGAATTTTTTTTTTAAATACATTTGAACAAACACATCGTTTTGTCGAAGGTTTATGATCTAAAGCCTATATAATATAGCATAGTTGTTAACTTACTTTTTCCTCCTACAGGCTTGATTTGCTTAACATATGTCGATTTCTGTTGTTTACACCTGTGGCAAGTTAAATTAGTGGAAAAGTTAAATGGGGTTTCTTCTCCTTTCCTCTGCCCTGAACCGGTTTTAGAACTATTGATATATGTTACAACTCAAGTGAAGTCGAAGTTGATTGCTTAGACAAAAGGTTAGTAATAGTAATGTTTGATTGCTTTTCCAGGTGGACATGGGTTTAGTTAATTATCAGCTCTACCTATAAATGGAGTTGTGACAGTGAAAATTATGTTAGCATAAATTATTAGGCTGCGTGATTATTCTGCTTATGTTGCTGTTTGCAACCTTGTTTACTTCTCCCCTTCTGTTCTTTCATCTAAAACCTTTAGTTTCTAATTCTGCTTTCCATCACAGGGTTTGGTCCTTGAACAGATTCACGCTTCTGCTCTTGGATGCGGGAAGCAAAGAGTTATCTACCTTGGAGATGGGAGAGGTGATTTTTGCCCAACATTGAAGCTTGGAGATGGTGACTTTGTGATGCCAAGGAAGAACTATCCTCTGTGGGACCTCATTTGCAGTGATCCGAAGCTTATCAAAGCCGAAGTGCATGAATGGAGCAACTCAAAGGAGCTTGAGAAGGTCCTACTACACCTTATCGACACAATCTCCATCAAAGTAAAAATTGATAGTAACAGTTCCAGTCACCAGAACTCATCTGAATGCAATTCTCAGACAATGCGGGTTTGCTCATGAAGATCTAAGCATTTCATCAAAAAGATGAATGTTTTTAGTGGCTAACTGCTCTTCTATTAATTTAGTTTCTAAAGGGTTCTACAATGAGGTGATGGCTGACGCTTGAGCACTTGGTTAATCCCTGAATTGTATTTTAGTAGCAGGTTTTATGGATTGACTTAAAATATTTTGCTTGATAGTTTCATTCTCTTATCTCCAGATGCTTTGTTTGTTCCTATCCAAGTAAGGAATATTTAGGCTGATTGATACGAAGATTTATTTCTGTCTTCTTGTTGGCAAAAATATTAGTGGCTCTAGAGAACTCCTCGATTTTCAGAAACGTGACTCCCATACATTTGGATCTTAATTGGTAACTGCCTCGGTATTCCCACGATTATTGCTGTGACGTTTGATGGCCTAGTATTTACTCTCGAATTATTTAGAGCTTATTTTATAAAATCAGAAAACAGAAAATAATTTATTTTGTTTCAGATTGTATATTAGCACATAAATATTAAGCTACAATATAAATTATTTGCTTAAGCAAATAATATTGATATAGATTATAATTTTTTCCTATCCAAATAATGTTTAATACACTTTTCCATCCACAATTTTTAAAATATCACTTCATTATCTAAATTTATATTTTGATGACGAATAGAGAGAAACTCGGTTTAACTATTGAAACTTTTGAAAAGACAAGTGGATGAATCTTTTGGTGATGGAAGTTGAATTTTGGTAGTTGAGATTGATCAGAATTTGATTTGAGAGAGATGATTGCGTAAACTCTAATCGCTCGATTGCCAACATTAGACGGATTGGTGAGTGATGATCGAAAAAAGAATAATGTTATTGTAGGATCGCAATGATATGGACTTAAAACAGAATATAAATTTGGTATTAAGTAATTTTGTAGGTGTAAAGTGTCTTAAGTTTATTTAAGTGAAAAAAATCTATTCTTATAATATACCGAGTGTAGCTATGGGGCAAGCATAATGAAAATGAAATCCCCATAATTTCCTGACCAAATTCATGCATGATCAACTAAAATAAAGAAAAAACACTAATTAAAATTTGAACGGCCCCAATTGCATGATCAAGAACAAACACATATTGGAAAAGTAAAAGTGGATATACCAACAAAAAAAAAAAAAAAAAAAAAAAAAAAAAAAAAGCCCCTCAACAACCAATACCTGTCCAGCTGTCCTTTCTCGTTCTTACAATAATAAAAGAGTCTAAACAATGCGTAATTGCGTATGCCTTCTCTGACTTCTCACTTGTCCCAAACATATAAAAACCAATCAAAATCAGAAGAAACGTTTCAATTCTTCCTTTTTATTCTTATTCTCTTCTCAGCATCAATACCAAACTCTTTTTTCGAACATTAATATAAAAATCCTGTCTCTCTTCTGTCTCTCTTTGTAAAAATGTCCAAGAAGAGAGAAGAAAGAGAGACGGGTATGTTGTTGGATGGAATAATAGACGCCATGCCTGTCTTTGCAAAGGAGCTCGTTGCTGGTGGCGTTGCTGGTGGCTTAGCCAAATCCGCTGTTGCCCCTCTTGAGCGTGTCAAGATTTTGTTTCAGGTGTCTTAGCTATTCTTCTGCTCTCTTTCAGTCTTTCTAATTCATTTTTATGATTTTTTTTATTCTTGGTTTTGTGGGGTTCTTTTTCTTGACTTGCTGTTGTCAATGGTTTGATATGGGATAACTGTTTATTCCTACTTTTTAAGAGATTGGGAGTACTTAGTTGGACCTGAAATTGAATCATGAATTGGAGTCATTATCAGATATTTGACCCTGTGCTGTATAGTGTGTAGTATAAAAAATTGTTTGTTGCAAACGTTAATGGTTATACAAAATCTAATGAAAGAATTTATATGGGTTACCAGGTTCTGGTTCTTGTTACTTTTCATCTCCCAAGAATTATGAATCTGTCATCATTAATGTTGATAAAATCTTGTGGGTTGGAAACAGTTGAACAGAGCTACGAAAGTGGGCCCATCACACCTACCACTGATTTGCTGAGATGGATCATAATATCATATAAGCCAAAACTCACTAGACCCATAAAATCCCAACAATTGCTGCACCCATTGATGTTTACTATTTTTTTTTTCCTCTTTCAGTTAACCACAATCATTTTGGCAAGACATTTGGCTAAAGATATAAATATTTTGAAAGTTTGAATCCTTTATTGAAAATCTTGTATTTTAATTATTTGTTCTGTAAGTTTCCTCCCAATTGTCGTTTACACATTGGTATACATAAAGTAGACTTATGTTGGTCATTTTTTAGAGGCAACCCAACAATACATTGGGGATATTGATTGGTCAAATGATATATGTTCCTGTCTATGATATTGGATATCTGATGCTATTACTAATTTCCCTTTCATAATATGATTCATGTTTCTGGGTTTTATGATGTGATGGCAGTTGTCCATTGATGTCTTACCAAAGCAGGGTATTGGGAGGGGTGTTCCGGATGTGGACTCCAAATGTTCTCACTTTTGCATGAAGTGGATACTCTCGAGTCTCAAACATTCAGTTTGGGCTTGTGAGTCCAAATTTTTTTACCAGTCACTAGGCAGTGGCTGGTTGACATTAACTGAACGTGCATTGAATCTAGAGTAGTAGATAATCCCTATGCTAACAACATATAAATTTATGTACTGGTTAAATTTTTACTAGAAGAATATAAGTTCTGTGCTCCATACTGCCACTATGCAACTGTGAAGCTGTATTGATTTAGAATTTAGAAGATAAACCAGGAAAGGTTAAACAAGGAACTAACTCACCCATCCTTTTCAGACCAGAAGAGAAGAATTTCAGAGCATGGGGCTGTTTGGATCCTTTAAAAAGATTACAACAACAGAAGGGATTATGGGTTTCTACAGGTGGCTCTCCAAGTCAATGCATTTTATATGAAGGTTTCCAAAATGTTTTGTCTTCAGTTAATTATTTATTTTGTGGGACTTTGCTACAGAGGAAATGGTGCTAGTGTTGCTCGCATTGTTCCTTATGCAGCACTTCATTATATGGCTTATGAGCAATACCGGCGATGGATTATTCTCAGTTTTCCTGGCATTGGGAGAGGCCCTATACTTGATCTTGTAGCAGGATCATTTGCTGGAGGAACTGCTGTGCTTTTCACTTATCCACTGGATTTAGTCCGGACGAAATTGGCTTATCAGGTAATAATTACGTAAAGACATGTTTTAGCTGGAGTATAAGGGAATTTGCAGCATTTTCACCCTCTGGACTTATTAGAACTTCTCCTATTAGCAACATCCTATAAGTATTAGCAATCATTTCCCTGGAAGTAAAAAGGGAGTGTGTATAGTAGACTGATATACTGATTTCAGGATTCCATTCTTCTTTATGTTTAAAAAATGTGGACTGAGTTGCAGTTGCTCATGCAGATTGTTGGTTCACCAAAAAGGAACTTTCAAGGGGTAGTTAGTGCAGAACAAGCTTATAAAGGAATAGTTGATTGTTTCCGGAAAACTTACAAGGAAGCTGGGCTTAGAGGTCTCTATCGAGGTGCAGGTATTCATGTCAAAACTGCTTTCAGTATTGCTTTCATTATATGTTTCAGTGCCTTGCACCATTGCCCTTAATTAATGCACACGTGTCATTGTCAGCTCCATCACTTTATGGAATCTTCCCATATGCTGGTTTGAAGTTTTACTTCTATGAGGAGATGAAACGCCATGTCCCTGACAATCACAAGAAAGACATAATGGTGAAACTTGCATGTGGATCAATCGCTGGTCTGTTGGGTCAGACCTTCACATACCCTCTAGATGTTGTTAGGAGGCAAATGCAGGTAATTTTCTTGTACATTACAGATCCTCGTACACTTGGAAGAAAGGTCAAAAGTGAGTAATCAATATCTTTCTTATTAGGTTGAGAGGCTCTTGCCTTCTACTAGTGCAGAGTCAAGGGGAACAATGGAGACCCTTGTTATGATTGCTCAAAAACAAGGATGGAAGCAATTATTTTCAGGGCTCAGTATCAATTATTTGAAGGTGAGAAGTATCCTGTCACTTTTTCTTATTTTTTTCGTCAACTTCTCGCTAATGATATTTTGGTGTATTCACCAGGTCGTACCATCTGTGGCAATAGGGTTTACAGTTTATGACATTATGAAATCATACCTGAGAGTTCCATCACGAGATGAAGATGTAATAGAAGTGGTAACAAATAAGAGAAATAGTCAACCATCCCTTCACTCTTCTTAATGATTCATCTATTTTTTAAATTTGAGCAACATTCTTCCTCTTCATCATCAGTAGACTTACATTACTTTCGGAATTGTTATTTTAGATTGACTTGTACTATTCAAGGCATTTGTGCATTCTATTCTTTCGAGCTGAATAAATCCTGTGTAGGTTACATTACTACTTCAAACAATCCTTGTATTAGTGCCCAATTTTTTGGGTTGTTTGGCCGGCAAACTTTATTGACTAGATTTCTTACAAGTTCTCCCTGTACAGTTATGTATCATAAGGATGAGATACACATTGATGTACATACAGTTGTATGATCTATAAAAAGCATTTTGATGTTGCTACAATGTGAGAATGATAACTTTTTATCTGCTCTTTTATCTTTTATTTTTCACAAGGAATTAATGTTGTTTAATTCTGAAGTTTTAATTAGTCATAATTATTGAAAAAAAATCAACTAAACATGTCAAATAAGCATATAGCAGTGGATCATGCTTATATTGGATATCATAGAGTTCGTATTCTTACTATAGTCTGCAAATCTTTTCAGTTTGATTAAAGAGTTTGTAGAATTATGTTCTCAGCACTGTTGAACTGTTATTTTCAATTTCCAAATATATTTGATATTGTCTTACAAGCCAATCACTCGGTTTGATTTTGCATAAATAAGGGAAAATTAGTCTGGTGGTACAAATATAGGATTAATCAATTAAGAAGCTCCATGTCCCCTCAAATGAAGCTGGAGCATTTGGATTCACACTAGGAAGAAGCAAAGAATCTTGAGATTACATACAGGGAGAAATGTAGCAATTGACATATAATTGTAATCTTATATACAAGTGGTGATGTAAAACGAACTGCAAAAAAATTAATATTTATTAAAAACTTGGGTTTAAGGAAATTGTAATACTGGAATTGTGTTTCCTTTATCAGAAGAGAAGATCACTGCAATCACTCTTTTGTTTTGGTGGTGAAATGTAGTTGTTGTATTGAGAGTGAGACCTCAAAAGACCAGAAAGTTACATAGAAGTTCAAGTTGTTCCTATTTGAATAAACAAGGAAGATGATCGTTAAAATATTCCATAAACATCTGGTTACAATGATAATAGGGATCATCTCTTATGGTATTTAATAATCAAATGATTTATATTAGATGCTTTTATGCATTCATTTTCTATTAGCTTCTGCCTAAACTGGGTCTAAGTAAAACGTAAAAAATGCTCATAGCATTATTTGCATGATTGAGAGTTTCATATTTAATTGAAACATATATGGCATGCCTTGGAATGACCATTTCCTATAAAAAAGAAACCAACATGAAAAAGCCAATCATTGCTATACTTTCAATATAAGGGTATTTATATTAATATAATAAATTTCTTCAAATTCATCCTATATTATTCGAAACATTTTATATTAATATAGTAAAATTGTGAAGGAAAAAAAAAAAACAATAATCTTTGTTGAAGAGGAGATTGTTTTTATTTTTATTTTGAAGATAATTTAAAGGATTTCCAGTTAATCCACTTCATCATGAAAACTATATACATAAAACAACTATAAACTGATTTCACGTTTAAACTAAACAATATAATTAATCATTTTGCGGACTTGGGATCAATCACATCTTTGGTTATTAACCTTTCCAAAATAAAATACTACATAAATCGTAGGTCTATCGGCCTGTGAATTCATTTGCAGTTTGTTCATTCGAATTTTTCAAGCTGTACCATTCCTCTTCCCAATAAACATAACTCATGAAAGGTTTGGGAGCTAAATAACAACCATGGTTTACAATTTACATTGCTCTTCCGATAAACATTTTTAACCTCATTAAGAGATTGGAGCTAATGGTTATTTCATGAAGGATCTCTTCCATGTCAAGTACCATTCTCTCACATGTATCCTAACATCTGATTTAACACCCATAAGATACCATAAGATGTTGATTTTGACACCATATGATGTTTAACTCCATTGCTAGATATTATTTTGTCCACGAACAATGTACGTATACATATTCAACTCAACACTCTGAAACTCAAAGATATAATATTCTGACTGCATGCAAGCCCCAACTAATCAAGTGACAAGAACTTGCTCGAAACACTTCTTAAGAATAGTAAATTCAATATAAGAAAGAGAGAAAAAAATAAAATAAAATAAAAACTTTTGGCATGTCTGGGTACTTTGCCATTTGACCTGAGGTGAGACTGGGAAACTTGAGCTCTCAGGGGGCCATATCAGTCCTTAGACGTTCAGTGGTTGATATAGTGGTGTACCATCTCATCAGATTTTTCGAATGTGCAGTACAGAACTACAGAAGCATATATAAACACACTAGAAAATCTAACATACAATGCAAAAACAAAAACTAGGTTTGGCATTCGATTTGATTTTTATTAAAATGAACCTTAAGTACAAGCATAATGTACAGCACAGCACCAAAATCTGATCTGGTTTTCCTTCACTCAGAAATGTACGTTGCACAGAACACTAATAGCATATTAGAAGAAAGTCTAGCTGATGGATTGAATATAGTGTTAATGGTTTTACCAGTAATCCCCGCAAGAGCATTTGCCATCTCTGAAATGATGAAACCGCTTGTTATCCCTAACAATTAGCTCTCTTCCAACAATCTTGGACATGATCTTTATTGCATTGTGGCAGTCACCACAGATTCTAAGGTTCTTCATTATCCTAAGAGGCATCCTAGCCGGAGTACTAATCAAACCATAAGCAATGGCCAAACGCTCACTATGGTATTGCAAGGCCTTCTCTTTTGCCTCTTCATCAATGTCATGAAGCACATATCTTGTGTCAGGCACATACCCCACTTCTCTCATCTGTCCATTCAAGCCTTTCATATTCTGATACCCTTCTCCTTTATAGAGTTCTGTACACCGATATTCATTCACTCTATTCTTCTCCTCAAGCATGTTAGTTGCAAATTGCTTCTTCCTTGGAGGCAATGAGATCTTGTTAACAGTGGCCTTAGAAGGATCAAGATCAACCAATAACTCCTCAGCATGGTCTTCAAGTTCAACATCTCCATGAATTTGAGCAAAATCTCTAAGAGTCTCCCATACTTCTGCTGTAGGCTCAGATGGCATTTTTTCGATGAACTTCTCAGCTTCATTCAAATGACCTGCTCTCCCTAGGATATCAATAACTCCTAAATAATGCTCAATTTTGGGTACTATACGATATTCACTCTCCATCAACTCAAAATACATAAATCCTTCTTTCACAGCTCCTGCACTAGCACAAGCTGCCAAGACCACCACAAAAGTCTCCTTACTAGGTAAAAGGTCCAATTTTCTCATTTGCTCAAACAACAACAACCCATTTTGACCTTCTCCATCAACCGCATAAGCATTGATCATCATATGCCATGAACTCAAATCTTTCTCACGCATTTGATCAAACACCTTGCGTGCACCTTTAATATTATTACATCTTCCATACATTTCAATTAATTTATTGTTCAATGCAGTATCATTACTAAACGGTGACTTTCCTAATAAATAATGAACCCTTCTTCCCATTTCAAGCGAACTCAAATTCACACACGAATCCAACAACTCACTGAACACATCATAACCAGCAAGGACACCACGACCCATATACTCAATAGCTTCTTTAACCTTACCCTCTTTGCACAGACTCATCAAGTCAACATCAAGATTCTCTCTTTCTGAATTTCCAGGCAACGGGTCGTTCATAATTTGAATATTGTTCGTCTTGCTCCTCTGCTTATCCACGTGTGTGTTGAAGCTGGGCCGACGATAAACCTTGGGGTTAGGGTTTGCATAAGCACACAGAGGTTTAGAGCTAGTTGAAGTTTTGAGAGTGAGAGAATGAGAAGAGAATGGGTGATAGATTTTAGAGTTAAAGGAAGAAGATACTATAATGGAGTTTCCGGCGCGTTGAAGAGAAGCCAGAGAAACCATGGCTGGGTCGTTGTGATATGAGCTCTGTCTATGCTAAGCCTCTCAAACTTCGGTTTGTTTTGGTTTGAGCTTGAAAAGATCTCAAATCGCTTGGGAGAAAGCGGTGGGGTATATCATTACACTTCGTATATTTGCTATTCTGATATTGTCGTTTAGCAGGTTAAGATAAATTGCTGGTTAATCACCAAAGGCATGAGTGTTAATATTTGATGCTCAACTAGGACAGTCTCTCGGAGGGCTTAAAAGGTTTAGCTGAAAACTTGAAATACTGTAAATTAAACTAATTTGAACATCTCGATCATCCAAAAAAAAAAAAAATTTGATTATAATAATTGATTTCACTCTTTGATATTCCATTTCTATCCCCACTTTTATCATTATATCATATCATATCACACCTATTCATAATTATTATATCACTTTACTTATGTATCATAACATCTCTAGTGTCGTTATTTTGCTCCTTATAATTTGAAGCTTAGAAAGAAAGAGCAAGAAGTCATCAGCAACTTAATAAGAATATCAAATACTATTCATGGGCTTCCTTAGCTATTTGTTTGGTTTCCAGTCACCTGACTAAATAACTTGAAGAATCCAAGAGTTCAGTAGACTCCTCCCTGTTTCTCTCCGGCACTATTCCGTCAGAAGGATGAGAATCGATGGTCTAGAAGTCCATCGTAAGTGTTAGCTCTAGTGAATTTGCTCCGAGCTTAAGCAAATCTAAGTTACAAGTCAGCTTTCTTTCACCCATGTCCAACCAAAGTTTTGTTGACCCAATTGACACAACATCCATTTCACTGTGCCAATCCTTCTCTCACTGCCTTTACAATTCGATATAATGGTAATGAATGTTCCCAACAGCAAAGTCAATCAAAGTTATTGCTAGGACAACATGCCACACATAACAATCAAACATTTAACTTGATTTAGTTGTTAGAGAAGCACCAAAGCTAAACCTAATTGCTCTGAAAAAAATCCAGATTCCACAGGTCAACCAAAGTCATATAATGTAGATATTGCTCATTAATATGATTAATGTTCCAGAATATTTCACAAGACAATGGGTTTAATACCCTGCATGTGTATTAAAACTCCTCCAAAGCCAGTGAAATAGGAAAAACAAAGAGCATCTTCCACATCCAACACTTATGGTATACATAATATAGTAGAGAACAAAAATACATAAATGATCAAATAATATAATCTGACCACTCAGAGATGAATGAAGTATGATCCATGGACTCCCCTGGAATTTCTTCAAGCCTTGAGGGTTTCTCCTTTCCTCCCACTAACCTTGCCGGATTCCCCACTGCAGTTGTCCTCGGTGGCACATCAATCAGTACCACTGACCCAGCCCCAATTTTCGCACCATCCCCAATCTTGATATTGCCTAGTATGGTTGCACCAGCCCCAATCAGCACCCCATCTCCAATCTTCGGGTGTCGATCTTCAGATGCCTTCCCAGTACCACCAAGTGTAACATGATGCAAAATTGACACATTGTTGCCAATCACTGCTGTCTCACCAATGACCACACCCGTTGCGTGATCAAGCAAAATCCCTTTTCCTATTCTAGCTGCTGGGTGTATATCAACAGCAAATACATCAGAAATACGCGAGTGCAATGCTAATGCTAATGGTCTCCGAGACTCGGTCCAGAGTTTGTGAGCTATTCGGTGAGCCTAACAGATCAACCAAAAAGGCAAAGACAGTTACAATAAACAAAGAGATAGTTAGCTTATGTAATTAGGATTACCCTATATAAATTAGGATTAAGATTAACTTGTATGTTTAGGATTTCCTTTATTATATTACTTTCCTTTCTTGTAGCTTGCATTAGCTTACAAAAGCACAACATTATAAAGAGTTCAGATTAATACAATTCTTTTTTCTCACATGGTATCAAGCTACAATACAATATTCTGATAGAGATTAACAAAGAAATGCTAAGGTCACGTTTTCTCTCTACACATTTCATAATTCATCAAAACGTGGTTTTAATTGTATCAATGAATTTCTAATTTCTAATATAAATACAATTTCCAACTTAAATATTACACAAATAAAATAAGTTAATGATGCAAAATTAGGAAAAACAAAAATAAGAAATCGTACTTGACATGCCAAGAAGCCCTTGTAATTGAGAAGGCAGTGAGAAAAGGAAACGCAAGCAGGGTCACGGACACGAGCGGCGCGAAGATCGGCGACGGCAGCGGCACGGAGAGCGGGGTCAGAGGAGAAGGTGTTGAGAAAGAGATCATACAACAAAGTAGAGAGGAGTGTCGGGGAGGATAACTTGTTTCCCAAATGAAACGACAGCGATCTCTCAAAAGAGGAGTGCGATAGGATGGTAGAATAGAGGTAGCTAGCTAAAGCTGGCTCCGACTCCGCGTCACGCCGCGCCTCTGCTTTGATCTGGCCCCACACCCATGCCTCATCATCGTTGGTCGGTGTTTCTGATGAGTACCAAATCTCGCCTGCGGGCATCTCCACACTTATATTATTCTAATCCAAAACGCTTCCAGAATCCAGTAACTGAGCTCAATAATAATAGGCGGCACCTTCAAATTTTTAAGGCAAAAACCTACCGATACAATATTTTTATATAATATTTTACGTAAAATATGATATAATAAAATATCGAAAAAATATGATATAATAAAGAGGTGTTTGCCTGAAAATTAGCGTATAAGCAATAATGTAGTTTATAAACATTGAAATTTTAAGTAATTATGTGTTTAGTTAAAGTATTTATAAGTGATTGATAAGTAGTTGACATGTTTGGTAAAATATAATTTATATGTACATTTTATTATAAAATGACTAAAAAGGGTACTACATTAGACAAATGTATACTATAAAATTTTAAAATTAAACAAGGATAATATGATAATATACTTGGTCAAACTAACTTATAGGGATGTTTGTCTAAACTTATAAGCTGATCAAATTAGCTTATAAGTTATAAAATTAAGTTGACATGTTTGTTTATAACTTTTTTGAGCTTATAAGCCAAAAAAAAAAAAGTTGGGGAAAGTAATTTTTTTTTTTTTTTCGCTTATAAACTAGTTTGACCAAGTATATTACTACATTATCCTTATTTAATTTTAAAATTCCATGGTATATCTTTATTTAATGTAGTACCCTTTTTAGTTATTTTATAATAAAATGTACTTATAAGCCACATTTTATCAAATACGTCAACTATTTATCAGTTACTTATAAGTACTTTAACCAAACACATAATTGCTTAAAATTTCAAATGCTTATAAGCACTTGTTGCTAATAAGCTAATTTTCATAAGCTCAGACACACACCTTTATAAGCAGAGTGTTTATAAGCAAACTAAAAAAAAAAAAAAAANTTTTTTGCTTATAAGCTAGTTTGACCAAATATATTACCACATTATCCTTATTTAATTTTAAAATTTTATAGTATACGCTTGTTTAATGTAGTACCATTTTTAGTTATTTTATAATAAAATGTACTTATAAACCACATTTTATCAAACACGTCAACTACTTATCAGTTACTTATAAGTATTTTAACCAAACACATAATTGCTTAAAATTTCAAATGCTTATAAACTAAAGTTGCTTATAAGCTAATTTTCATAAGCTCAGACACACACCCTCTATAAGCAGAGTCCTTATAAGAAAAAAAAAAAAAAGTATCTCCCCCATCACTCCCTAACTTATTATTATTATTATTTTTTTTTATAATCTCAAAAAAGTTATAAACAAACATGTCAGTTCAATTTTAGAGCTTATAAGCTAGTTGACCAACCTATAAGTTTAGACAAACACCCTCAAAGATATCCAATGATTTTAAATTAAAATTAATATTTTATCCAATCATCTGTATAAAAATATTTTATGTATATATAGTATTACTCATTTTTTATTTCTAAGGTTATGGTTATGGACCCATGCTAGAGTCACGTGTTGTTCTTCATTTGTGGATCTCCAAAGTCTTATATTGTAAAATTTACTCATACCACAACTCCAAAGCCACATTTTGTTACCCAATAACACAACTTTAATGGATGGGGTTTAACACAATCATCTATTAAAATGGGCTTACTAATGTAACTTGGGTCTTAATCCTGTTTATTTGAGTAAAGTTACTAGAAGAAGAATAGCTTTTTTGAATAATTTGTTCGTTGTTTGGTTAGAATGATGTAAAAGAATTTTATTATTGATTTACCAAAAAAGGTTTTAATAGATCAAATAAATTCATAAAATAAAATAGAATATTCAAAAAGAGCTTATCAAAGGTTCTTTTACCAGTCGCAAAATTATTTATTTATAATCAGTGTTGTAATAATCAACCCAGGATGAAACTTGGCAGAGTGGTCAAATCTCAAGTTGATCAGTTTAACCGGTTTGATTGGTCGGCCAAGTCGGTGTCTAAAGGTTTGAAATCCAATAAAAACATCCTTAAAAATTACATATAAATCCCTATATGTTTGAAATCTTGCAAAAACACCTCAAACACCACCCTGTCAGCTTCGACAAATAGGGTCTGTTGTCGATGACGACAACACTTCCCATTACCACGAAAACACTCCTCTCAACCTCCTAACCAAAACCCATCTCACCCTCCCCTCGTTTGCCTCACCAATCGTCGGCAACATTAAGCTGTTGCCGATGATTTATTTTTGTGATTTTTGATCGATTCACTTGCCAGAAATCATCTCTATTACCACCACTCCACTCACCGACCCTTCCTCTTCAAAAGCCTCAACATCTTAACCTTCAATTGTTTGTTGATTGACGTCTTAATTTCTAGGGTTTTCAATAAATAGTAAAATTGATAATCCGACCCAGTGAAAGACCTGAGCCTCGATTGAACTGGTTCAACCGGTCGGGCTAGGTTTTAAAACACTATTTTTAATTCTACAAATACATTTGAAATATAATCAAACAGCCTAAAAAAAAATTTAGAAGTGTTTATTGTTTTAATAAACTCTTTTGACAAGTAGATAAACCCAACTAAACTTCTAACAGTCCATTCTTATCCGATAACTTTTGCTTTGAATTTCCCCTCTATAAAATATTAAAATTTGTTACAATTAACTTTGTGTAAATATGCAACTAGGAACCTTGTTCTACAAAAATACAAACAACCTAGCATAAAGTTAATTCAAGGGTGAAGGGCCTGTGATCAGGCATCCTAATACATATAAATACATGAAAGAGACTATGATACACCAGCACAAGGAGCTTCCTTTATTTTTGCTCCTCAACCTGAGCCAAGGGCGAATGCTTCCTAATGCCGTGACTTGACTGTCATGTTACTCTTGGTTTTGTTTAATGCTGCCAACAAGTTCCACCCCGATTAACTGTCCTTCTGCAATATGAACCATTGCGTGTGGGTGCTCCACAAACAGAGGTTCCTCCAGATTTCTTGTCATAATATGAACTGATTGTCGAACGCATGTCGGAAGCACATACTGAATGTTGCCAACACCTTGCATTTCCCTTCACTGGCCTTTTGCAATATGAACCACTAAGTGTGAGTGCTCCACAAACAGAGTTACAATATTTCATGTCATTATGTGTACTGAAATTCGAACACTTAGTTTTGTCACATTTTAAAGCATCGCCATCATCCCCATTCAATTTATCTTTTGTAGCTGGCTTAGAGATGAGCCCATCAACCTTCAAACCTTTATGCTCTTCACACCTCACTCTTCCTGTAACGGGTTCTCTGGTACAGACACGCCCATTACCTATTTCTACACCACATATAGTATCATACTGGAGGTTGGCAACTTGCCTCTCCGAGAAAACTTTTGGTTGCACTCTTCCAGGCTTAGTTTTGTCACATTTTAAAGCATCGCTAGTACTGGAATCAATAAACACAGAAGGCAGAGCTTGTGATGTTCCCACTGAGTTGGAACTGGAACCATACATTTTCCTCCATTTGTGCTCATCACACCTTTTATTCCCTTGAACTGGTTGGTTTCTACAGACAGAACCATCCCCTAAGGAAACCCCACAAACACCAGTATAGACCTCACCAGCACCATGTCTATCCAAAACTAACCTAGGCTTTGATTTGCTAAACTTAAAAACTTGAGAAAATAAGTTGTAACTCTCCTCATCAGCATTACCACTGAATTTATTCCCCGGTGGAAGTAGTTTGATTCCTTTAATTTTGATGCCCACAGGTTCTCGACTGAAATATAGAAGCTTCCTGACAGGTTTAGGAAACTGAAAATTCCTTGAAGCAACTTTATTGAGTTTCCCAAGGACATCATCATGGCGACGCATGCCATTACTGCCTTTGTTCCATGCATAATCAAATTTATTGAGCAGCTGATTTTCTGTTTTCAAAGCATCTGCCTTGTTTTTCATCTGTCCAACAAACAGGAAGGAAAGCAAAAGAAAAAAGATTCAAATTTCAGAGACATATAAGTATTCGTTCATTTGTGTTTTGGCTTTTAATTTCCCCCTTTTTTATATCTCATAGGATGCAGAAACTTCATTCAATACACATTTTTTACGTCTACTTCCGTATAATAATAATAATAATATATAAATTATATGCATCAAGAAGGAAAAGAAAAACATTTAACTGTTCTATGACTTGTTACAAAACATAACAAAATCCAGAAAACATCTCCTTCTCTCTGACAGTCTCTTTCCTCTGATACAACTTACATATTCCATAAGAGATTTCAACTTCAAACCAAGATTTGCATCAAAGAAGTAAGAATGAAGATCAATCATTGACAAAATCTAGACAAGCTTTTTAAGAAGAACAAACTGAGTGGCAATTCAAGGGTGACTCAAGATTGTTTTTAGTAGAGGGCTTCTTCCTTCTTCTATTCATTGACTTTTCTTCAATTTTTCCAAAACTTCCTCTCTTGATTTCTGAATTATGGTGTAGTTTAAGCTCAGTGAAAATATATTTCAAATTATTCCTCACTTAATCAACAATATTACTTCATCAGGCATAGTGAAAATTGTCTAATATAAGCTTAAATTCTAGGCTTTTCTGCCAGGAACATTACATGTGTTGAGGGTTTTTGATGAAAGGTTAGAATGGAAACAGTTTGTTCTGGTTGATGTTTTATATGTTTATTGCGTAAATTGAACACAGTTGTTAATTCAATTAACTAAATTTATAAAGATAAATCACATGCAAGTATAGCTTGCTCAACAGTTCATAATTTCTTAATAACCTTCCACAGTCTGTGTAATTCGACTCAACATCAGGCTTGGCCACTTATCAACCTGCTTCATATTAATCATTTGATCATTTGGCTTATGTGTTTTCCAATCTGAAGACACAAAGGGTAATAATTATGGATTGTCATTGTTTCTTCCTGTAAGAATTTTATATTACATTAGTCCAATTAAAGTTTATAGGAGGTGTTGGTTCGTGAGAATAGTCACCAAGAAACACCAAAATCCATAAATTAAAAAAAGGATTTTTAGAGAAACAAAAGAAAAGAAAAATTGTAATAGGTTGAACCCAATTGAATAGATATTGTCTATTTTAGGCACTATCTACTTAGAAGGCAGGTCAATACTTATAAACTAGCTTGGAATCTTATTCGCTAGTGATGTGAGATGTGCAAACTCCCCATGTTCTGGACCTCATGAGCTCATAAGCTTTTGTCACATTGAGTTGTGAGTCTGTATTTAAGCTTCACACAGAACAAGTCTACTTAATAAACATTTTATAAACTAACATAGTCTTTCATTAACTAGTGTGGCATGTAACACAAAGTATAGAAGTAAGAAACTTGACATCAAAACAACTGTGAAAACACCCTAAAATCATACTCGATTTGTTCGTTTTGAAGAGCACTTTAAGATTTTGTTAAGAAACAGTCCACCTTCTAACTTTTATTATAAAGATCGTGGTCTGAAGTTGGAAGTTTTTGTGAGATAGAATTTGTTTGAGAGGAGAGAGAGTGATATATTTTTCTACTTGGTTCATATGTTTTGTTAAAAAGCATAAAACACTTACAACTCTCAGCTTTTTTTTCTTTTTCCATGCAACGTATAATAGTTTTTTTTTTTTTTTTGGTTTATGAAATGGAAAACAAAAATGTGCACCAAACAGAGTTTCTAAATTCTAGGATATAAGAAAACATATGGAAAAATTGAAAATCAAAACATAAACTAACTCACCCTGAACCTTTTGTTTATTTAAAAGGAAGTACTTACAGGAACCCATCTATACACAATGGAGGCGCCTCTACTGAATACATCCTCAAAATATCCAGGCCCAGTTTTGAGGCCAGAGTCATTTGGGTTATTCAAATGAGCACCACTGCGGCCATAACACTGGAGCCGTGTACGGACACTGTCAGCTTGTCCAAGGTAAACCACAACCACACCATCTGAGTCAAGCTTGTTGACTTCACGTCCTAAGCCCTTGCGAGGCACTGCTACACCGAGCTCATACAGCCCTGGACCTGTACAAGTAGGGAGGTTGTGAACCCTGTATCTATCTGCACCTTCCTTTCCAAGCGAATAATCTCCCCAATCTGAAGGTCCGATAAGAACCTGAACGCAGACACATATAATATGCACCAAAATTTAATCACCCATTACAACTGCTCATTGTAGCCATCAAATCAAAACCCACAAATGTTTATTACTCTGGTTTGTAACATGCAGCAACAACATATACTTCACACTGACTTCAACTGCTACTAAATAATCAACTGCATGGCTTTTTTTACAAGCAAAGGCAATTCAAAGTTGAAACAATGCGATCATTTGACAGTATCTTAAGGTAGACTGGAAACTGTTTGTTAATATGCTTAGTTGAAGTTAAAATCATGAACACATTAAGTCAAAATATGTGATTTTTCATAAAGTGATAGAGAATCCCATAAGGCAAATTCGACTCAGCCCAATCGAGACTACTGGCAAGTGTGAATTGAGAAAGTGGGTACATAATCAAATGATATATACAGTACTGCTTGCAACCCAGAAGTGAAAACAAAGCACGTAGGCCTAAAAGATCCGAAATTTATGAAGATGAGAAGGAAGTCTGGAGAAAAACAAACCTGCCATTTAGAGAAGAGCGAGTCATGTTTGGTTCGCTTGCATTCTTCTCTGTTGATCCTACCAAATTCATCCTCTCCCTCTCCCATCTGGCAGTGACCCGATATGACCGTTAAGGCGTCATTTATACGGGGGCGAGTTTGCATCGTAAAGACCATACTGTCCATGATCAGAAGAAGTCTAGTAGTTGAAACAAGAATGATCAATGATGGTTACGCTATTTGACACAGAGCAATTAACAATTTTCTGATGTTTTCAGGCCTTAATAAAAGTTTGTTTTTTTCGTTTTACAAATAATTATTTGGATAGAAATTTGTTAAAAAAAAAAAAAAAAAAAAAAGGACACACACGAGAACTTTTTTCTGCTTCTAACAAAAGAAGACCTGGGCACGTAATTTCAAGTAGCATCGATGATAAAAGAGTAATAGATAATCTAATATGGTCTCTCTTAAAAAGATTAGTCACTGAAACTCTTATTTAACCGATTAGATATTTGAAAAAGATCTAATATGATCTCTTGATTGTTAATCTTCACGACCTTTAATAAGGGTGGTCATTGAAACTCTTATCACAACTGTTGGTCTAGACACCTCATTATTTAAAAAAAAAAAAAAAAATTCTACTTTTTAAAATATAATTCCGGATATATAATTCCGGATATATAATTTTGAAATATAGAACAATCTAATAGAAAAAATTATGCAAGCAGGGAAAAGAGCATCTTCATTATTTTGGTTGCTGAAAAGAATGCAGCATAACAAAGCTTATTCATTGTCCTTTTTGCTTCATTCATTGATTCCATTTCACCACGTCAAGTTTTGTAAGAAAGCAAACCACAAAAGTTTTCAATGTGTGTTGCTTCCTTATCGTTTTCCTACTCATCAAAAGCACCTTTACTCTTCAAAATTGTTTAAGGTTCTGTCGACAAACTTTATTCCCAGTAACTAGACAGGCACTAACCAAAAGGAAAAAAGAAAAAAAGAATGATACAGTAATCTTTTTCTTTTTCTCCTTTGTACATTTTTCAGCAATAATATGACTATAAGCATCCTATTATTTCACAGAATATTTGCAGATGTAATGAAGATATCTTTGAAAGTAGACTCAATGATTTGTAAGTTGATCAAGTAAAAGGAAATCACTTATTCCAAATTCCAATATTACTTTTTGGATTGGTCCCTCTTTTTCGGGTTGAGCCTACTTCACCACGGCCCACCACCGGTGAGCTTTAAAGTCCGGCCCACCACCGGTGAACTTTCAAGGTTTTTCTCCTGGTTTTGCCCATGGGGCTTTTTCACATTTTCTATTCCTTATTTCGTGAATTACTCTCGGATTCTTTGATTTCCTCAGATTCCCTCTGTGCAATGCAGTATTTCATTTTCTTGGAAAGAAAAATATTGACATCACATTCACATGCATGATATTACTTCCATATTCTTTGTGTTAGAAATAATTCCATGCGCTTCTGAACTTAAATTAAAATCATGATACTGTTCATAAAAACCACCAAAATAGGGCAGTTTGCGGACACAAGACATGTATTTATTTTAAGTAAAACTTAATTGAGGAAATTAAAATTAAAATTTAGATTTAGAGTTTTGTATTGATGTTATCTATGTCCTACAGTTCTCGAAATGTGTATGTCTTGATGTGGTTGATTTGGCCTCTCAATTGGGCCATTGCCATTATTAAAGAAGAATTGAAACAAAAACTAATCGAATTACTCCGACAATCATGTACACTTTCTAAGGCACGCTGCTACAAACCATATGTACCTCAATTTTAGGGAATTAAATGTGCAACTGTCCGATCCACTTCATCAGAGTTGGAAAATAAAATGGGGTCTGCTTCTCCAATAATTCAATCATATAATTTCATATTTTTATACAATAATGCGATGATTAATAACCTAATTTCATAATCTTCCCTTACTATTTTAACGTGATAGTTGAGTTCAACTTTCACCACACCCCAAAACATTAAATGATTTTAATTAAACACGAACTATTATTTTTTAAGGACGAACAATTGTTTCTTAAGAACAAACGACGTTTCTTCATAAAGAAACGATTGTTTCTTATAAAGGAATAATCGTACCTTGGAATCACCATTCCTTTGCCAAGAGACGGTCATTTATTTTGTGAGGAACGACCATTCTCTATGAAGGAATTGTCATTTCTTAAGTACAGTCAAAATCATTTTATTTCTTGGATATGGTGAGTTGATATGAAATTGTCACTTCAAGTGACACATTTAAATCATAAAAGAAATTTATGAGATTGAGTTATGGGAGTAACATTACTCATTTGTATGAAAGGTAATAGTTTAGATTGTAACATACATCCGTTACCATGCAATGCGACCGAAAGTATGAAATGAAATATATGCGGTAATGGTAATGGAAATGGATAATTTGTCAATGCCTAACATGTGAGAAATAGTGAAAGCAAGTGGACTTTTTAGATTTTAGCTTCAATTTTCTTCATCTCTATCACCTACCCATTCTCTTTTTATATCTATAATTAAGCAAATTTCATGTCATATTATCATGAAAAGTCCACCTTTGAGCTAACTTCACTGCAACCTCCAATCATTCATCTCTAATTGTTTAGACATACATATTTGGTCTAAGCAGGTGTCATTTAGTTAAACCGCCGTTTCTCCTTTGTCGTTTTGTTTGTCCCTCCTGCTCTTTTTAAGTTTCTTTGGCGCTTATCTCTTGTATTTATGCATAAGCCGGAGGAGAATCATATAACGAGTAGTCCAAATTAAGCCAAAACAAAGCTTTACTCATGCAGAATCAAATTCTGTTTCTAACTTTATTTGACTTCACGCTTGTTACATGAAGAAGAAAAAAAGTATGCCTGTATTGCTTTTGAAAGAGTCTTTGGTTTTTGCAGAGTACAGAAACTGAGGTTTTCATGTCTCCAAAGTTGTTTGAGAGCTTGTATTGTATTGTATGAATGTGGGTTTGTTTCTAGAGTTTCGACACGTCCCTTTTAACGGAAAGAACTCTACTCAATTTGTTAAAAGTGCCTTGAAATGCACGCACTCTTTTTTTCTTTTTATTGAAGCTCTTTAGCTTTTCGGTTGGGCACCTGTAAAAGTATCTTGGTTTTCAGCGATCATGTGTTCATTGATGTAATCAGGCAATGTTTTGGTGTTCAAGAAGAAATTTCACGGGCTTTGCCTATAAATTGTGGTGAAAAAGGTGAGCTTTTATTTTTTTCTTTGGTGTTTGGAAATGAAACAGAAGGGTTTAGGAGAGTTGGTGGGGAAGGTAGTGGTGGTTGCTGTAAAAGCATCAAAGGAGATCCCAAGAACTGCTTTGGTGTGGGCTTTGACTCATGTTGTTCAACCTGGTGATTGCATTAAGCTTCTGGTGATTACACCTGCTCTTCCTTCGGGTAATCTTCTCAATCTTTTGTTTTACCCTTAAAATCCTCACTTTCTGTATAGAAATTCTGATTGTATATTGTTGAAATGTCTTTTGGCTTGTTCTTTGGCTGCAATTTTTCTCAATTGTTTTAAATTTGTGAATCATTCTGTTTTGATTGGTACTGCTTCTTTTCTTTCTTATGGAAGCTTTTGCTAAACGTGTTATGATTATGTCTTCAACATTAAGGGTCTCTTGCTGGCATTAATTCTACTTCACCTGCCTGAGAATTCCTTGTGAATATAAGGATTTATAGTTAAGAGCTTCATGGCATCTAGTAATAATTTGTTTTAAACAAAAAGGTGGTAGAGCAAAAATTGTCCTTCCAGATCTTAGGACGGCATGGAAGAACTGAATTTTTGTTGAAAATGAAGCATCCTGATAAAGTCGCAAGGCCGTTACTTGTTCTTCTCTTCATTTTGAGTTAAAATTTCATTTGAACTTCTTGTGAACATTCACTCCCCAGCCGGGAATTTCTTGACCATACCTCTTTCTTAGTTTGCATGGTTGGTTCACACATTTGGAATGGGCATATAGCATTGATCGTCAACAAATCAGATGATCCATAATGACATATAAATATACTATGCTCCAGCATTGAAGTTTAGGTCCCCTGAGTTTGTTTTTCTTTCTTCTATTTGTCTGGTTATATTGACTTTAGGGTATCTTATGTTGATAACTGATGGGAGGACAATACATTTCTAGGTAAAAAGATATGGGGGCTTTCAAGATTCACCAGTGATTGCACCACTGCTCACAGGAGGTCCCTCTCAGGAACCAGTTCAGATCAGAAGGATGATATTGTAGACTCATGCTCCCAAATGATGCATCAGCTACATGACGTTTATGACCCAGAGAAGGTTAGTTGCAATAATTATTTTTTGATCTTTTGTTCTCATAGACTGCCCAACTAGTATTAAGTGTTTCCATCTTCATTTCTTAACAGATAAAAGTCAGGGTAAAAATTGTTTCTGGTTCGCCCTGTGGAGTTGTGGCTGCTGAAGCCAAGAAAGCTCAATCAAACTGGGTTATATTGGATAAGTAATAATTATTATCAAAACCTTGCTTGTTTTCTTACATGACATACCACTAATACTTACTATGGTTTTATGTGTACTTTGCTATCATATGGCTGTGGATTTCTTAATGTAGTCATAGGCCAACAGTTTTAATATTTAAAAACTACCTACCCAGAAGTTTGGTTTTCCCATTTCTTCATTTTGCTCAAATTTATCGCTATTTATAATTATTGGCAGACAGCTGAAACATGAGAAGAAATGCTGCATGGACAAGCTGCAATGCAATGTCGTGGTTATGAAACGATCTCAGCCAAAGGTTCTTCGTTTGAATTTGGTTGGATCACCAGCAATTGAATCTCAAGTGGCTTTCCCTTTACCCTTTGATTCAGAGGTATCTTCGAAACATTTGAAAAGTAAGCATGATCAGTCATACATGATTAAAGGGCCATTTGTGACTCCTGCAAGTAGTCCAGAGCAAGAGTCGTCATTGACTGTGACAGATATTGGAACCTCGTCAATATCAAGCTCAGATCCAGGGACCTCACCATTTGCCATCTCTGGAATTTTTGGAAACCTGAAGAAAGAGTGCTCATTTATCTGTGAAGAAAGGCTGAATTTTTATGACCCTGATAGTGACACAGATGGTGAAAGTGTGGGTCCACCTTCTACAAGCTCATGTTCCCAACCATGGATGAGTGAGGCTCTCAGTTCTAGTGGTGAATCCTTAAAACATTTGGAGGGAAGTTCACAAAGGACCAATGATCCAGCTTTGACTTCCACGTATGAATTACTGCTGGAGAAGTTATCTACTCTGAATCGTGAACCTGATGTTGGTGTGCTGAATTATAGGCTGGATCTAAAGTTGAGCAAAAGTGTGAGAGAGGCAGTTTCATTGTCCCGAAATAAACCGCCGGGCCCTCCTCCATTATGTTCAATATGTCAACACAAGGCACCTGTATTTGGAAATCCTCCAAGATGGTTCACCTATGCTGAACTGGAGCTTGCTACTGATAAATTTTCACAAAGAAATTTCTTGGCTGAAGGTGGATTTGGTTCTGTGCACCGGGGTGTCTTACCAGATGGCCAGGTTGTTGCTGTCAAGCAACATAAACTGGCAAGTTCGCAAGGTGATAAAGAATTTTGCTCAGAAGTTGAGGTTTTAAGTTGCGCACAACATCGTAATGTTGTGATGTTGATTGGATACTGTGTGGAAGATGGAAGGAGATTGCTGGTTTATGAATACATTTGCAATGGATCTTTGGATTCTCATCTTTATGGTAAGTTTCCTCTATCCTAATTTGTGTTATGATTTGCACTGATTTTGGCAGGAAGGAAAATGGTAGGGTAGAGGGAAATGGAAGGACTGTGTTATAACTTTCCTCTAGCTTCTGGATTGACTTTCCATTCTTATACTACATGCTAATTTAACCAACACTAAAGCTTTTGTTTAATATTACCAGAATACCTTATAACTTAATAGCATAAATGTTTCTAAAGGGTCTTTTCCTTCCACTGAACTTTTATTTTATGGGCAGGTGGGGGCAGGGGGTCTGTTGTTGACCAAGTCTTGCCCCCGTTATTGGGAATTATACTGTAAATTTCTTAAGAAGTGTGTAAATATTTACTCAAATTTTTTTTCATGTAAACAGTTTCTTTCTTAAGAAGAGTTTCTTGAATTGGTTTTGAAATTTGGACTGTATTGTGTATGGTTATATTGTGCCTTGAATATACTTTTTGTGGCCAAGCAAGTTAATAGCAGAATTGGGACTTTGCAGGACGTGATCGAGAACCATTGGAATGGTCTGCAAGGAGAAAAATTGCTGTTGGAGCAGCTCGAGGGTTGAGATACCTTCATGAAGAATGTAGAGTGGGTTGCATTGTCCACCGTGATATGCGCCCTAACAATATTCTTGTCACTCATGATTTTGAACCATTAGTATGTCATGCTCTTACCATCTCCCCTTGAGCAAAAATCAAATATGTTGATTACCAAATTCATGTTGTCCTTGATAGTTGATACATCATGCGTTCAAGTTTCATTGTTGATTAATATTTCCATAAAAATGTGCCTTTTCATTGCTTATTTGTATCATTAGGAGATGTTGGAACTGACATTCAACTATTGGACTTTAGGTTGGGGATTTTGGATTAGCAAGGTGGCAACCAGATGGAGATTTGGGAGTGGAAACAAGAGTAATAGGAACATTTGGGTAAAACAATGTGACGGTTTTTCTCTTAGCAATTTTACCTGCATAGAGTGATAATCAAATTCACATATTCTCCTTTGTGTAGGTATTTAGCTCCAGAATATGCTCAAAGTGGTCAAATCACGGAAAAAGCTGACGTCTACTCCTTTGGAGTAGTATTAGTGGAGCTCATTACAGGAAGGAAAGCTATGGATTTAAATAGGCCCAAAGGTCAGCAGTGCCTCACTGAATGGGTATGAGTTGGACCGCTCTGCTTCCTGTTTTCACTTATATATGTTGTTGAAAGTAGAACATGATCTTGGAAGGATAGATTATATTGGAGTTTAAGAGATTTTAATATTGTCTTCCAATTTATCTAGTCTCTCCAAGGGAATTTACGTTTTTCTTTTTTAAATTGACTAAACTTAATCTGATGTACTACATTACCGATAGCTTATGTTTTCATATCGGAACAGGCACGCCCTTTACTACTAAGACAAGCCATTGATGAACTGGTCGACCCTTGCTTAAGCAAATGCTACTCAGAGCGAGAGATTTATGGCATGCTGCAATGTGCCTCCTTGTGCATCCGTCGGGATCCTCATAAAAGGCCTCGTATGTCACAGGTTAGTAATCTATTAACTAATATTTGCTTTGCATATAAAATGAAGTTCCAGACCATACTTACTTTGATCATCAAGCAAAAGTCTGCTGAAAGAAATCAGAATGAGTAGATTTCCTTGCAAAACGCCCTTCATACAATATTTTGAAAATCATACTTGCCAAAAAAATCAGTTCACAATGCTTAGCCTAGAAGCAGAGTATTATCAAGACTTTATTAAAGTTGTAATCAGCGGTTATTTGCTAGATAATCTGCACAGCCATAACTTTGAGCAATCTTGAGGGAACAGTTTTTTTTGTCACAAAAAAGTTCTCTTCAAGTTAACTTTGAGCAATTGTAAGGTTGTAATTGTATGTTATATTGATTAGAGTTTCGGTTGGACCGTACACCTTAGCTTAGGACTAAGCATCCAACCTTAACCAATAGTTGGATAATTGCAGGCTTCGTTACTGAAGTCAGCTTTCTAATGATGCTTCTGAAGAAAACCCCTTAACATTGTTTATAACTTTGTTCTGAAAGTAAAGAATTTAAGACTTCAAACGAGTAAACTTATTTCTTGTATATGATCTTTCCTAAAGGTTCTTCGGATGTTGGAAGGGGATATTATCATGAATTCAAACAGTGATACGTGAGTTTCCTGGCACATCTGAAACAGCAGAAAGCATGAGGATAGAAACATGAAACATCAACAATGCTTACTCCAATCTTGATTTTGAAGGAAGTTGAAAGTTGACCCACGGAATGCAAAAGGGTAGGTCATTCGGAGAGTGAAGAAAGGCTGCTGCCATTGTAGGTGGAAAGTGATGTAAAAGGGTTTGCAAACATGATATTTCAACACAATGTTTGGCATCAACTGCGTGTTTATCATGTGAAACCAAACTTTTGTATTTATTTTTTGTGGAAAGATAACTTCACGTTGTTTCATTCTCTTGATTATACATGGGAATTGATGCTCAATGTGTTGCTTCAATAACTAATAGAACACTTCAGCATTTCCGTCCATGGGGTTCCTCGTATCATACTGGAACTTGAATGGGTTTATCTTCCTCAGCATTTCAGTTTCCAATTTTCAATCATTTCCTACCTAATTAATTACATCTACAACTCTTTCTTTAAAAAAAAAAAAAAAAAAAGAACTTACGAGAATTTACTAAAACATTTAACCATGTATAAACGTTATATTGATAATTTAAATTAAAAGATCTCAACGTATATAAGAAAAAATTCATTGTTGAATAGGTTTGCAGTTTGGACAAAAGTTAGACNTTGTTTTTCATGTAAACAGTTTCTTTCTTAAGAAGAGTTTCTTGAATTGGTTTTGAAATTTGGACTGTATTGTGTATGGTTATATTGTGCCTTGAATATACTTTTTGTGGCCAAGCAAGTTAATAGCAGAATTGCGACTTTGCAGGACGTGATCGAGAACCATTGGAATGGTCTGCAAGGCGAAAAATTGCTGTTGGAGCAGCTCGAGGGTTGAGATACCTTCATGAAGAATGTAGAGTGGGTTGCATTGTCCACCGTGATATGCGCCCTAACAATATCCTTGTCACTCATGATTTTGAACCATTAGTATGTCATGCTCTTACCATCTCCCCTTGAGCAAAAATCAAATATGTTGATTACCAAATTCATGTTGTCCTTGATAGTTGATACATCATGCGTTCAAGTTTCATTGTTGATTACTATTTCCATAAAAATGTGCCTTTTCATTGCTTATTTGTATCATTAGGAGATGTTGGAACTGACATTCAACTATTGGACTTTAGGTTGGGGATTTTGGATTAGCAAGGTGGCAACCAGATGGAGATTTGGGAGTGGAAACAAGAGTAATAGGAACATTTGGGTAAAACAATGTGACGGTTTTTCTCTTAGCAATTTTACCTGCATAGAGTGATAATCAAATTCACATATTCTCCTTTGTGTAGGTATTTAGCTCCAGAATATGCTCAAAGTGGTCAAATCACGGAAAAAGCTGACGTCTACTCCTTTGGAGTAGTATTAGTGGAGCTCATTACTGGAAGGAAAGCTATGGATTTAAATAGGCCCAAAGGTCAGCAGTGCCTCACTGAATGGGTATGAGTTGGACCGCTCTGCTTCCTGTTTTCACTTATATATGTTGGTGAAAGTAGAACATGATCTTGGAAGGATAGATTATATTGGAGTTTAAGAGATTTTAATATTGTCTTCCAATTTATCTAGTCTCTCCAAGGGAATTTACGTTTTTCTTTTTTAAATTGACTAAACTTAATCTGATGTACTACATTACCGATAGCTTATGTTTTCATATCGGAACAGGCACGCCCTTTACTACTAAGACAAGCCATTGATGAACTGGTCGACCCTTGCTTAAGCAAATGCTACTCAGAGCGAGAGATTTATGGCATGCTGCAATGTGCCTCCTTGTGCATCCGTCGGGATCCTCATAAAAGGCCTCGTATGTCACAGGTTAGTAATCTATTAACTAATATTTGCTTTGCATATAAAATGAAGTTCCAGACCATACTTACTTTGATCATCAAGCAAAAGTCTGCTGAAAGAAATCAGAATGAGTAGATTTCCTTGCAAAACGCCCTTCATACAATATTTTGAAAATCATACTTGCCAAAAAAATCAGTTCACAATGCTTAGCCTAGAAGCAGAGTATTATCAAGACTTTATTAAAGTTGTAATCAGCGGTTATTTGCTAGATAATCTGCACAGCCATAACTTTGAGCAATCTTGAGGGAACAGTTTTTTTTGTCACAAAAAAGTTCTCTTCAAGTTAACTTTGAGCAATTGTAAGGTTGTAATTGTATGTTATATTGATTAGAGTTTCGGTTGGACCGTACACCTTAGCTTAGGACTAAGCATCCAACCTTAACCAATAGTTGGATAATTGCAGGCTTCGTTACTGAAGTCAACTTTCTAATGATGCTTCTGAAGAAAACCCCTTAACATTGTTTATAACTTTGTTCTGAAAGTAAAGAATTTAAGACTTCAAACGAGTAAACTTATTTCTTCTATATGATCTTTCCTAAAGGTTCTTCGGATGTTGGAAGGGGATATTATCATGAATTCAAACAGTGATACGTGAGTTTCCTGGCACATCTGAAACAGCAGAAAGCATGAGGATAGAAACACGAAACATCAACATTGCTTACTCCAATCTTGATTTTGAAGGAAGTTGAAAGTTGACCCACGGAATGCAAAAGTGTAGGTCATTCGGAGAGTGAAGAAAGCCTGCTGCCATTGTAGGTGGAAAGTGATGTAAAAGGGTTTGCAAACCAGATATTTCAACACAATGTTTGGCATCAACTGCGTGTTTATCATGTGAAACCAAACTTTTGTATTTATTTTTTGTGGAAAGATAACTTCACGTTGTTTCATTCTCTTGATTATACATGGGAATTGATGCTCAATGTGTTGCTTCAATAACTAATAGAACACTTCAGCATTTCCGTCCATGGGGTTCCTCGTATCATACTGGAACTTGAATGGGTTTATCTTCCTCAGCATTTCAGTTTCCAATTTTCAATCATTTCCTACCTAATTAATTACATCTACAACTCTTTCTTTAAAAAAAAAAAAAAAAAAGAACTTACGAGAATTTACTAAAACATTTAACCATGTATAAACGTTATATTGATAATTTAAATTAAAAGATCTCAACGTATATAAGAAAAAATTCATTGTTGAATAGGTTTGCAGTTTGGACAAAAGTTAGACATAATCCGACGGCTAAGAGTTGTCCAACACTGTCGGAAAATGCACGGCCAGGATCCGCCCAACATATAGTACGAAACATAAAGGCAATTTACACGAAGCTGCTGGCATAAAAAAGTGAAGTGAAAGAAGAGGCCTGACTTCTGAGCAACGGACGTAGCGCCATGAGCTTATTCTTGAAAATTCGAAAACCATCTCTTTCTTCCCTCTCAGTTTTCTCTTTTCAGAGCTTCTTCACAACACTCCCACGTAACCCTCCTTCTCTTCCTTATTTCTTTATATTTACTTTTAAGTACCTTCTTCTTTAATTTTGTTTTGTTTGCTTACTATATTGAATGATGGAACTTTTTATTTTATTTTTATAAACAGATTTTTCTACGGAGAAGAAGGAGGCTAGTAGCTTCATTCACCCTACAGCCGTTGTTCATCCAAATGCCATAATTGGTCAGGTGTGCTCCCTTTCACTTTACTTCTCTCAATTGTTAATTCTTTAAGTCATTATGCTTTATTTTTTTAGTTATAATGAACTGGTTGATGTGATAAGCTGGAGAGTTCTGCACCTTTTGTGGTACTGGCATCTGCTTTAGAGAAGCTCTTTAGAGTTGACCACTGCAGTTTGTTTTATCAGTTTTTAAGAGTGTTGGTCGAAATCAATTAAGCTATTTGAATGGAGGTTTACTTTTGAATGATATTTGGAGTTTCTGAGAGTCACAATTTGTGTTTCAGGGAGTTTCAATTGGTCCATTTTGTACCATTGGGTCTTCTGCAAGGCTTGGGAATAGTTGTCAATTGTATCCTGCAAGCCATATTTTTGGAAATACAGAATTAGGCGAGCACTGCATTTTGATGACGTGAGTTCTGATTTTGGTTTCACCTTTTCTATTTATTATCGGAAACATATGGTTTCTGTTCTTGATCATTTTACTATATGTAAGGATTTAAATTTTGTCAGGCAGTGGTTCTGTAGTTGGTGACAATCTTCCTGGGCGAACTGTCTTAGGGTGCAATAACATTATTGGGCACCATGCTGTGGTTGGTGTCAAATGCCAGGACATGAAATACAAGGTTCACTTCTACCAGTATGGATGTTAACTGATCTATTTTGGTGTATGATTAGAAATTGGTTATTTGGGTGTGTGCACTAATAGAAGTTTAACTTGTCAACTAAACCCTCTGCATTGATGGCAATATAACTGATTCTGCACCGCACATCATTGCCACCCAGATAACTGGATGTTCTCATTACATTTGTCACTATGATCATCAGCATCATAATATTTAAAGGTAGCACTTTCGTGCATGTACTTATTTGTGGTTTGCAGGCTAATAACATCAATTCTTTATGCTTTTAGCCAGGGGATGAATGTTTCCTTGATGTTGGAAACAACAATGAGATCAGAGAGCATGCTTCAATTCACCGATCTTCAAAATCAAGTGATAGAACGGTAGGTGGGCTTACAAATTTTTGTTTTCTTTTTTGAACATGTAACCCTTTTTTTGAAGTTTAGGCTATATCCATATTCTAACTTCAATAAGTTAATCAGGTCATTGGTGATAACAATCTTATCATGGGTTCTTGTCATATTGCCCATGACTGTAAGATAGGCAACAGTAACATATTTGCGAACAATACTCTTCTAGCTGGTCATGTTGTTGTGGAAGTAAGTTCTAAATTTATTTTATAATTGGGATATAGACAGCATTTTCAATATTTTCATCTTCAGATGCCTTATCTGGTATGCAAGTTGATTCAAGTGCTGGATATATAGGACTATACTCACACCGCAGGAGCAATTGTGGTTCATCAGTTTTGCCGTGTTGGCTCATTTTCTTTCATTGGTGGGGGTTCTGTGGTACGATCCTTTTCTTTTGGCCTTAAGTTTTCATTCTCTTCTTTCTCTTTATGATGAGGATCGTGCATTAATTGTAGTTTCCAATATGAATGTTTTCAAGCCAAATTGAGCGGCAATATCGATGTCTATTTCTCAAATGGAGGTTTCACGAATTTTGTATTATACAACTTTGCCCAAGAAAGGGAAAAAAAAGTTAAGGATCTTGTTACATTATCCTTCAGCAGTGCAATTATGCTCTTTCTACTTGACTTTAGGACATATTCTTTGAAAATGCCAAAAAAAAAAAGGTTGATATCATATAAAATAATTTTTTGTTCTTCATGTCTTATGCCTAAAGGTTACACAAGATGTTCCCAAGTATACGATGGTAGCTGGAGAAAGGGCTGAACTTCGTGGTTTAAATTTGGAAGGTCTTCGTCGTCGTGGATTCACAGTCTTAGAGGTTGGTACTCGTTGAACTTTAATTCGGATGGCTCCATTGTAGCTACAAAATAGTCCATAATTTTATAAATGTGGACATAGAAGTCTCCTCTTTCTTGTCAATGTAGGCCTTCCCATGATTTGTAGAAAATGAAAGATGATTGGCATTTTCTGACAGTAATTATGTTTTAGTATGTTTCCTTTACAAAATTATTAACTTCTTAACCATTGTTATAGCATTTCTTTCTCCAGTTGGCATATAATGGAATCCTGTAGAAAGGAACCTGTTATAGGCCGAAGAATGTATGTGAAGAGATAAATGACCCCTGTGATTATGGGGTAGTGATAATCATTAGTTTAGGAGTTAGGTTCCCAGGAGATTATTGGTCATTATGGTAAGAATTAAGGTTTTTGCAAATTGTTTCCCCAACTTAACTGGATGTATTTTATAGTTTTACAGTTTATAATTAAACATTATGCTAGCAAGAATGTCATAGAATAGTTGATTAGACTTGATGTTTCTCTGTGCAAACCATAGTGGCATAGCAAATGGGCACCATTTTGTCAGATTCAGACAGATGAGTTAAGTATCATGGTGGCATGTTTATGTTGTTTAGTTTAGCCCATGTTTTTTTTTTTTTACGCCATTGTGTCTCAGTTGATACGAGGGTTGGTGCTTGTAAATGTTTATATGATGATATGCCCGAGAAGTGAGATGCCCTATGGGTCTTTCAGAAAGCTGAGGTCTCATCTTCAATCTTGGTTGAGTATGTTACTGTTGTTTGGGAAGATAATAATGATGTTGTGTGCAAGAAATGTAGTTGTGGATGAAATGTAAACCTTTAATTTAATTACCTGTTAGCCTCTACTTTTTCACTGCTCTATTTTTCTTTGGACATTTTTGTGAAACCATTCCGTATTAGCACAATATTATAGTAAATTTTTCCACTTTTAGCTGACATGATGTTTCTTGCTTATATTTACTAGCGTTAATGCAAAGAGAATTTTTTATGACATCGTTATGTTCTATTTATCCATTATATAACTGTAAAAATCATTTTTATTTGCCTCATTTATTATTATTTTTTTTCCTTCTGAGCAAGGATCTAGATTAAGAGTTTGAGAATGGCATATCGAAAGATTTTTATGCCTGTTGATGCGAATAATGTGGGTTTCGAAGAACGTCTTACTAAAGTGGTACTATATCTATCACTTGCTTTCACACTCAAAATTCATTTCTTCAAATAGTCATTGTGAAATTTAAACCCATATTGCAGGAACAGGATGAACAATTGAGTAATGTTCCTGCCGTATGTTCAATGGTGCAGTCTATTCGTGATTCTTTAACAGAAAATCGTCGTGGGATATGCAAGTTTAGGCAATGGACTGGTTTATGAAGTCATGTACTAGTAACTTCTGCATCTTCACCTTTGATTTTTTTTTTTCCTTTTCTCGTCCTATAAATTGTTTAACTGGAATTTGAACTTGAGTGTTTCTAAGGTAGTACAAGTTACCAAAGCAGTAAGTTTCGTTCAAACTTGAGTGAGTGCTTTGGGTCTATATTTTTGCAGTTTTTGCTTGGCAATTATAGATGAACAAGCTGGTGTAGACAAGTGTATAGATTTGAGAGGCATTGAGCAACTTTTGGTTTAGTTCCTCGTAGAGGTTCAACTTGTATCAGTTACCCAGGGATAAAAAAACACTTGCTATGTTTGTGAAATCTTAATTATGAAGATGTTGAAAGCAAATTATGCTTTTATAAGTTTATGGAACAAAACTGATATTAATATATATGGTCATTCTTCAATGGCACTGTCTTTGTTTGACCAATCATCTTCTCGTCTATTACTATATATGGAGTATGCTTTCTCTGCTTTCTGTTGTTAATTAACAGTAGATGGTCCAATTTTCTGAACTCCTTTGAAATCAGTTCATAAAACATTTTCTCGCTAGCAGCAACTTGAAAGTCACTTCCTACTAGTTGATGCTTTGAAAAGTCAATCTTATCTGTGTGATTTGTTATTCATGTAAGTTGAAGAACAATCTGCTTTTGAGGGGGATCCAGATATGGAACATATGGCAGGTTTCCTTTTCTGGGTAAGAACTTTCTTTCAGTTTCTTTGAATTCTTCTTCTTTCAGTCTCCACCGCTTAGCAGCCATGATGGCAAACTTCAAGCAACCCCCCTCCCCCATTGTGTCCCATCATGTCTAAACTAATCTTTGCTTCAAAATCATGTACATTATATTACTCTTCAAGGATTGGAAAGTGCTTGTACATTAGACATTCAACAATGTTGTGGTTTCTAAAATCGAATTATGTTATGTGATGTAATCCTACTTTTTGATGTTTTGAGTACAATTATTGGCTTAATGAAGTTATATATTGATCCATATTATTCAATGAACTGCAAATAGAATAAAAAACATTTGCTTGCTACTTGAGTAATTAGTGGTAATGCTAATGCTTTGAAGGTGACCATTTCTTTAAATTTCAACATTCGAACTTGGATTGGTTTTGCTCTCTTTTCATGTTACCCAAACACCAATTAATTTGAAGTAGCCTGATTCATATTAGCATCTTTTGAAAAACTTTGTTTGATTCAATTATTGAGAGGGGATTAGGTTGTAGTTGCTCAGCTTGACAGAATATCAGAGCTGTAGTAAAAATGGGCGTCACCCCACCACAATCAACATCAATATGAATTATATGATTTAAGGATAAACTTTAAGAAATTTCCATGTCCCAATAATCTCTTGGGTTGGGCCATTGAGTTAAATCAAAGTCAGGAATGTGGCAATCAGTTCACCAATTCCCCAGCTGCTTTTATCATTAATTGTGTTGTGTCTTTTCATTATCATCATGGAATCTGTAGGAAATTACTAAAACAAAATTAACGGCCATTCTCCCTCTTAATTATTGGTTCTTTTAAAGTTTGTGCTTTTTTTAGTTGATTCAGCTATCAAACATTTACCCCTTTAAACAACCCATTTTCTTTTTCTCCAATTTGATGCCTCTTTTTTTCGGTTTCTCCGGAAGAAGCTTTGCAAAAGCATGATTTTAATTGATCAACCTGCCAGCAAATTTTATTGGTACATGCTCTAGTCCTTGCAAATCATTCTCAAAAGAGCATGATATATCTGCAAGTAGTGAAATATCATTTATATTTTGAGCATATTATATTCTTCAGTGGGTATCAGAAAAACTCAATTGAATGTTCTAAAATCGACCGCTAGATTAAAAATTTAAGGTTAAAAAGTAATCTCAACTTTCCCACCGATTTACATCATCTACAATATTAAGCACTTCTCAAAGGAGTAAGTATAAAATATAGTCAAACAAGGTTTGATGGAAGGGAGATTCCATTCTATGATAATGCCAAATAAGAGAGAAGTAATAAATTCTTCAACTTGGCCTCTTGATACATAGGATTATTATTAATTAAACACATTAATTTAACATATCCTTAATTTGATAATAATAATAATGACCACCCTAACAAGACAATAGGCAGTTGGGTGAGATAATCAATCCAATAAAATATTAAATCTGAGTCTCCATCAATGTTTCTGATTGCTTATATTTAGGTTTACTTTTATGGGAAACAGAATATCATTTTCCATTAGTCCCAGATTCTGATTGATGAAAATGGTATCTTACCAAAAGTTTAGTTTTTCCATAACATTATAATATAAGGTAAAGACAAATTATGTGAGATGTCAATCACTTTAGTATTTGTTTAATGTTATATTAGTTTTAGGATGAATTGCATGCCTTGATATAATAGATCTGGCCAGATCAATGGACAGATGGCCATACATCTAATTGGAAACAACTTATTGGTGAATTGCATGCCTTGATATACAATGTTAATGTAGATTTTTTGAACACTTAATTTGTAAACATGTAAGGGTTGTTTTTATACATACAGTGGTAAGAAATTCTAGACTTAAAGTCTAACTTAAATTTGAATTATATATGTCGACTCAAACAATTCAACGACGTGCCATTTCAATTGAAGCATTCAAAGTAAAGTCTTGCCCAGATTCTTTCACATTTTTTTTCCTTGATACGAAATAAATATTTTTAATGAAATTCCCATGAAAGAGGAGTTGGTTGATCAACTTCAACTTCAACTTTCAAACTTGTTGTTTTTCTTCTCCCATTTCTCAAGTCACCTAACTAACCACCTCCAAGACCATTGGAGGATCTAGTTCTCTCCCCCCCTTTTTTTTTTTATACATGCTGTTATTTTTAAATAAGATATGCAAGTCGTTTCTGCTATACTATAATACTAACCAATAACCATAGCTTGACCATATACGTGTTAATTTGTTTGTGTATTTCTACAAATAATTATATTCCTCAACACAACTGGGTATTGGATTTTTGCTCTATATATATATATATATATATAGACAGAGAGAGAGAGAGAGAGAGCAAGAACATAATACAGAATTGAATGGTGTGAAGAGATAGAAAAGGGTATTGGATTTTTCTGATTTGTTTAGAAAGTAGAAACCGAGTTGGAAAAAGTAAGAAAATAATAAAGTATATCCATCCATCCATCCATCCAACCATCTTCTCTTGGTGTGCATCCATTCATTTTCGTAAAGCCCACCTTGCCCATCATTTTATCATATATGCTACCAACGTATAATTCAGCTACTTGCTCTCTTTTCCCTCTTTGTTTTATTTCGTTTTGGTGTTGGTTGTTGGTCTAAGAAGTTGAGCTCTGTCTGGGTGAAAATGGGCAGAAAGTGCTCACATTGTGGGATCATTGGCCATAATTCAAGGACCTGCACTTCTTTCAGAGGAACTCCTACTGCTTCTGCCCTTCGGCTTTTTGGTGTTCAACTTGACCTTTCGTCTTCGTCTTCTCTTGCCATGCAGAAGAGCTTTAGCATGGACTGTTTGCCCTCAGCTTCAGCTTCAGCCTCACTACACTCTTCACCCTCTTCTTCTTCTTCCTTGTCTTCTCTAGTTTCCATAGATGAAGATAAAACTGCCTTGGGCTATCTGTCTGATGGTCTCATGGGTGGTCGTCCTCAGGAGAGAAAGAAAGGTGAGTTTTTTTTTTTTTTTTTCATAACACACAACAACCAATGACTTCCATTAATTTCTTCAATTTTCTTAGCAAAAATATCCTGTGTCTGATTTGTTTGAATAAATACAACTCTAGCTAGAATATGTTTATACTGGATAATTCTCTCCAACAAAGTTGTTGATAAATATAGGAGTTCCATGGACGGAAGCGGAGCATCGAACATTTTTGATCGGGCTTGAAATGCTGGGGAAGGGAGATTGGAGGGGCATCTCTAGAAACTTTGTGACTACAAGAACTCCAACCCAAGTGGCTAGTCATGCTCAAAAGTATTTCCTTCGGCAGGCTAGTCTCAACAAGAAGAAGCGACGCTCAAGCCTCTTTGATTTGGTACCACTATTATAGCATTGTTCATCATATATATTCTCAATTCTGAATCATCAACTGATACAAATTTATATATTTCTGTTAGCAACAGGTCGGGAACAGTATGGCTGGTGGTCACCCTGTTAAAGGATTTAATTCCGAGCAAAGTGATCCTGTTCCTACTCAATATTCAAGTCACCGTGATGCGGCAATGCCTCTGGTAGACTACACTTCCTTTAAACAAGATTTTACTTCATGTAATGAAGCAACCGATGATCTTCATCAAGATCAATCAACTTCACACGGCCGTCATCAGGTGGTGCCCATTTGGCTACAGCAGCCTAAATCTTCCATTAATGCATCGAAACCATCGCCTCCAGATTCGGAATCAGCCGATTTAGAGCTCACACTTGCCACCCCAAAGCCTTTGGAAGAAAAGAAATCATCATCTAAACCTCTCTTTATCAGACCTATTAGTGTTACCTGAATACAATCCAGTGATAATCACTAGGAAGTATCGAAGCTTATCAAGACCACATGGTATTATTTAATTAGTATAGTCATAATGCCTCATCAGACATTGGATCCACCTTGTTTTCTGTTTATTATTAATCTCAGCAAAAGATTTCTTTTGTAGTCTAAGGATGACTGCTAAATTTGTGAAAGTATGTGCTTAATTAGTTGATCGATTAAGTTTTAGGCCTTAAACCCAAGTGACAACTTGTTCATCTCTTACATTTTATGTAAGGATATAAAGTAGTTAGGTCATTAATAAGAGAAGAATCATATAATAATAAAGATCTATTCAGTATTGTATAATGTATTAGATATGATATTTAATATGTAGCTTTTACAAGAACAATGGCACATTCTTCCTCATCTCCACCTCCAATGGCGCAGAAAATTTTCTTATTCTATATTCCTTATTATTGTAAGATTCTCACTTCCATATTGGGATAGATTATCAAAAGTGACAGATGTGGAAAAGAAAGGATCCAAAGTGATTGGTGAATGATGATAAAGGCTCTTCAACTTTCTCTCTTTTAGCAGTATTAGAAAATTATATACTGCTTGTGTGGCTACTAAGAGAAAGGAAAAAGAAAAGGAAAAAAAAAAAAGTTGGAGCCTCTGATATTAACCCCAACACCATTCCAAAGTCCTAAAGAAAAAATAGGTCAACAATCTTTAGTTTATGTTATCTTAAGAAACCAACAAAAGAAATCTTCCCGAGGTATTAAATGTTATTTTTAAACCATATTTTATTTTTCTATTTTTTGGTTTTTTTTTTAAATCAAGAGGAATAAACTAAACCTTCAAATTTTAATGGAAGTAATCGCCTTGGCTTTGTGTGCTATTAGAAAATACAAAACTCAAACTGTCTTTTCCTATCTTGTTTACAAGTAAAACTAGACATTACCGATTCTGTTTCGGAGAAAAGGTTGAAATTCAATTTCAGCAAACACTGGCATTCCATTACCATATATCCGCCTCCTTTTTTATAATGCATCTTTTAAACATGATTCTGTTACTTTATTTTTTTATGCTTTAATGACTTGAAAATGGTCCCTGCCTGCGTTCTCTGCATCCTATAAATGTCGATGAAGAGAGGTGCAGTTTTACTTGAAAAAGCTACTACATGACATGTAACAGGTAACCTAAGTGAATAAATACATTGAAATAGACAATGAATAATGTGTATTGTCTTCACATGCTCAACGGGACCATTCTAATAGGATTTACCTATCCTGCAACCAAAATCCATTAATATCCAACTATTTGTCGTCTTCCTCTCTACAATAAATCTCTCCCAAACAACGACTCTTTTATTGTCCGATGATCAAATGCCCATCGCAGGCTTCTCGATCTCTTTATTTGTCACTTCATCCACATATCTTGGGGACCCAATTCTTACCATGTAACAGTATCTTGTTTGACAAGAATGCTTGATTATTGAGTCAAATTTTCATAAACAGATAATCTAAAACCATGGACTTATGACTTCTTGTTTAAACCTTCACAAACGATTCCAAGACTTCAAATTTCAAGCCTTTGACATCATTTGATGGGTGAACAAAGACCTTAGACTAGTGTGTGAATTGTGTGACCAGAAAAATGGCACATCTACAACAAGTATGACTGTTGTTTTTTAAGATAAGGAAGCAAGGAAAATGAAGCTTGTCCACAAACCCTTTCTATCATCTCCTATGTGTCTACTTGCAATTGGCATTACTTGAGGAACCATTCAAATTAACAGAGAGGGGCAAGACTGCGACCTTTCTAGATTATCATCTCTCTCTCTCTTCTTCTTCTTCTTCTTCTTCTTCTTCTTCCTGTTTACGTTTACGGTATTTGAAACATACTATTATTAGTATATACTACACCAATATATATACACTACTGTACATGATAAATTAAATTAAAGTAAAATGAAATACTGAGATTCTACTCTTTTAGTTGAATACGTAGTGATTGTGTTTTGAATTTATATGATTTCTCTGACCCTTACATGATTCATCACTTTTTCCATACAGTGACCTTTCAACAGACAACAATGTCTTATTTCCATACAGTAACAATCACTGAGTTGTAATATTATTTGGCTTCTTCTTTTTTCCATTTGATGTGTGTGTGTGTATATATATATATATATATATATATACTTTGGAGGATAGAACTGTATTCTCTATCACACATAGAATAACTTTATTCTCTATCACACATAGAAATCTCAGTTATCTATTTGTAATGTGTCGTCTTTAAGATTTCATTCACTTACATGAATATTGAATAATCACTTACATTGTAGAAATGGTCAGAATTTTTGTCTTTATATAGCTTGTTTTGTTGATCCCGTTATCATATATCTTCATTGTTTATTTGATCTTCAGTCAAATTAATTAAAGGTTCTGAACTTAAAAACTAAACTAAGGATTCTCCAGACATGAGTTTTTCTGATAATTTGAAAAACAAGAAAGCAAGAGTAGATTTAGGTTAGAAAAGGTAGGAGAGATATTAAGATTATTGAATGGTCTCCCTCTGTGGGGCTGCCTTTATTAAGGTTGTTCTGTCAATGTCATCTATTCAGTGGGTTTTTAACAAGTTTTACATATGCCAAATTTTGGCCTTTTTCTCTTATGTCTTTCACGTTTAGGAAAACATCAGCAAGTCCCCNTTGAAAAACAAGAAAGCAAGAGTAGATTTAGGTTAGAAAAGGTAGGAGAGATATTAAGATTATTGAATGGTCTCCCTCTGTGGGGCTGCCTTTATTAAGGTTGTTCTGTCGATGTCATCTATTCAGTGGGTTTCTAACAGGCTTTACATATGCCAAATTTAGGCCTTTTTCTCTTATGTCTTTGACGTTTAGGAAAATATCAGCAAGTCCCCATAGTTTTTAAAAATTAATCCATTACCTCTCTTTGAATTTCTTACAATCAACAGTTATTCTCCTTAGTTGAACAAAATGTTGAAAGCTGGGAAAGCAATATAGGTAGCAGAAACCCCAGAGTGGTCTGAGAGTCAATGAGGTTTGCTCTCTTCCTTGATTCTTAGATTCAAACTTAAAGTCATTTACTACAATAATATTATGATTTATCTGGTCTTTTGAGTTTGTAGGATGTTCAATAGATCCTGAAGATTAATTAAAATGCACACAAACTGGTTTGGATATCTCAATTGTCAAAATATATATATATATATATATGCACAAAGAAGAGAGCGTGAGGTTTGAAAAGGGTTAGTTGTAGGTGAATTTAGGCATTAATCAATTCGGTGTTTAGTTGGCGAACCTATTGAGTGCCAAAATGGACCACCCTTGTTGTTGAGTTTTTCATTGAAAAATAAGTGACGTGTTAGTTTCTTCAACACAAGATTTTACCAATTCACCACCACAAAATATAATACTTTCAGCTCTAACAACCTGTACCCATTTCACTTCACTCTTCTTCCTGTTAACTAAAGTTAATGTCAGATATAATAAGTATTCAAGGCCTAGCTCTATCATTGAAAGTTTCAAGTGTGAAAGAGTTTTGATTAAACATATAATTTAATTATACAAAATTAAAATAAGTCACCCATTTGGAATTATTTAAAAAACAATAACTACTGACTTGTCAACCATTATTTGTTGATTATTAATGTGATAGCATAGACTTAATTAAAAAGGATTCAAGATTATGAATTAATTCAGCTATTTGACTTCCACCATACTAATAACAAATGAAGTTGATTTTCTAATCTAACCAATTTATAAATTTTAAGTTGATAAAAAAAGTTATATTTTTCCTTTCATATTATTGATAACACATACAAATTGATTCCAGTAATAAAATAAAAATAAAAAAAGTTTTGAGTGGAATGTGAGGCACAACACCCACTTATTTAACTTACCTAGCTAAACCTACCAGTCACCTAAATCCTTAAATACATTTAAAAACATTTTTTTAATTAAATAAAAATAAAAAAATCCATCCAGCCACTATACTGTGGATATTCCTTGGAAATGGTTAATGTGACTGCTGTCAAGTAACGCATCACTTTCAAGTTTCAACTCAAACATTATTTTTATTGATTAATTAAATTAATCAAAATCATTGCAATTTCTTAAGATGAAGTCACTTGTCTTCTAATATTATCTTTAGATTTTACTCTAATTTGCCGGTTAGGGACACACAAATAGAAATAGAATGTAATGTAATCCACTCATTTTGTCAAACATCTAATCTAATCCTCGTCAGATCCAGCTTGGACATTCATAAAATATTTGGGCATTGCCCAACCTTAGAATTAACCAACTAAAATAATACATATTTTGCATAAGAAAAATCAAATCTCGCAACATTCTTTTACAACTCTAACGTGTCAATAGATTAGTACTGTCATTTCAATTCATACCACACCTAAAACACTATTAAAAACAAATAATCGTTCTTTCATAAGGTATAATTGTTCTTTATGAAATAACAAAAAAAAAAAAAAAAAGGTTGTTCCATAAGGAGCAATCAAGGGAATGGTGGGAATGGCTGTTCTTTAAGGTCTGCTTGGGAGTTTTTTTCCTATTGATTTTGGAGGGTTTTTAATTAGACTGGTTTTGAGATGTTCTAAAACCATTGCTTGTCAGATTTTTTATGCATTAGTTTTGATTGGCTAAAAAATCTCCTAAAACCAGTGTAGTGTATTTTTAGGGGTTTATAAAGCCCCCCAAATAAGATGTTTTGATTGGTTTTAAAATTTTGTTCCATAAATACCATATCCATTACAAAACTATTCAAATTATATTTAAAAAAGAAATTAATCATATTATGCGCAACTCCAACCATATTAAATATAAACTAATTTTAAGCAATCAACAAAAAAAAAAAAAATTATTAAATTCTCATTTCTAGATATATTTTTTTGGAGAAGTGGAGCCACGATTTTTCAATCATTACAAATGCTGTAAAGAATATCAAAGAAGGATAAAGAGATTTTATCACATTTGAAGTTATAAAATACTAATAAGTAGAAAACAAATAAAGAACTCTTACCTTGTAATTGAAAAAACAAAACTCTCAAGTACTGGTTGAAGTTAAGGTATTTTTATGGGTACATATGTAAATTTATCATTTTAAAAAGCTGTCAAAACTGTTGAAAAATAAACTCCTAAGCATAAGTTGGTGTTTTAAAAACCGTTACTAAAAACCCCTCCAAACCGTTACGGTGGTTTACCCTTATAACTGCTACCATAAAACTCCTAAACGAACCCTTAAAGAACAGTTATTCCTTATGAAATGAATAGTTATTCTTTATTATAAACGATCA